CCCCCCCCTGTAATTATACGTATATTATTGCCGAAAGTTACATTTGTACAATTGTTATTTTTTTACATTGTAAAGTTTTTGTTTTTTTCTTGTAACAAACATTTATGATTGTTCAATCAGCTGAAAAAGTAAAGTGATCTTCTCAAGACTTTGTCTTCATTGATAGTGCCATTTGCAATAGGTTTTTTCAAAAATAGAAACACACCCAATTTCCTTATTGGGTGCGTTTCCGGGACGCTTGGCCGCTGGGTGAGGGGCAGGCCCGCCACAAGGGGGGGGATACTGGGTCCTTGGTACCGGGGCCCGGGCCCTGGAGGGGCCCGTGACGCAGGTGACAAACCACTACGAATTTATTTGTAACCCTTGTCTCGCAAGTAAAAGTGAAAAAATTACCCTAAAAATTCCGCCAAAGGTGAATAAAGTTTCAAAAACACGCTAAGGCACTATACAATTTTTCTTACTTTTTTAGAGATTTCTATCTATTTTCAAAATTTTGAGTACATGTAGAATGATATTTTTAGTAACTGCGTTTCATTTTCTTCCGTTGTCGAATGCTAAGAGGCTCCTGTCTGGGCATCCTCGACTTCAATGGCTCAACTCCCTTGCCATAGACGTACGGAAGGGGAGTCCAGGGGGGCCCGGCTCCCCCTAAAATTGAAAAGTATCATCTGCCCCCCTCAAAAAAAATTTATAGATGTTTTAAATGCAACAATTTGAAAGTATTTGGTGCTGAAAGTAAAAAAAAGGCGTAATTATTCTACAGAAATTGGTGGAAAATCTCCATCATAAGAGCTTCAAAATGCGTCCAAATAGATTTAAAATTTCAAAAAATTTTCCGGGGGAGGCCCCCCGGACCCCCCTCTGTGCTAGGGGCCCGGGCCAGAAAACTGGTACCAGGATCCGAGATGGGATGTGGCGGGCCTGGTGAGGGGGGGAGGTATCTCAAGCGAGGCCAAAAAAATAATTAGTTCCTTAGGGCTAATTAAGAGACAAAATTTTGAACTTTTGAAGTGGGCCTTTTTGATAGTAAATTTACCAGGGTCATCCAAAAAGTAAGGTTCCCTACATTGTATCTTCCGAACGATGAGATAAATCAAATCAGTAAAAAGATACATATTAGACATACTATAAGCTTTCAAACAAGCCCAAGTTTTTGAAAATCGGTCTAGGGATTCGCGAGAAAACTTAATTTTACTGAGACAACTTCCTGTCGCCGCGTGCCCACCTGTGGGGTCAGGATGCGCGGAGAGTTAATTATTTCAGACTCGGGTGTTCGCCTATAAACATCACATCAAAAAGTAATTTAAAAGTTTTCATTAAGTAGGTCTTACCTTACTTTTTGACGTAGTCTCCACATCTTTTTTGACATTTCTGGTATCATTACAGTAGCTTCTTGATGCCGTCCGCGTAAAAGCTCTCGCCTTGGCTCCGAAATCAGTCATTGACAGCGATCTGTACCTCTGAATCGGTTGGCAATCGCTTTTCATCGTGGAGGTTTTTCCGCTCCGGAACAGATTGAAGTCACATGAGGCCAAATTAAGAGACTATGGCGGATTGGGGGAAAATTTCCTGACAAAAAGCAACTGATTTAGAAGTATGTACAGATCGCTGTCAATGACTGGTTTCGGAGCCAAGGCGAGAGCTTTTACGCGAACGGCATCTAGAAGCTACTGTAATGATACCAGAAATGTTAAAAAAGATATGGAGACTACGTCAAAAAGTAAGGTAAGACCTACTTAATGAAAACTTTTAACTTCCTTCTTGATGTGATTTTTATAGGCGAATACCCGAGTCTGAAATAATTGACTCTCCGCGCATCCTGACCCTAGAGGTGGGCACGCGGCGACAGGAAGTTGTCTCAGTAAAATTAAGTTTTCTCACGAATCCCTTGATCGATTTTCAAAAACTTGGGTTTGTTTGAAAGCTTATAGTATGTCTAATATGTGTCTTTTTACTGATTTGATTTATCTCTTTTCGTTCGGAAGATACAAGGTAGGAAACCTTGCTTCCTGGATGACCCTCATATAAGTGCTTGAACCAAGATTTTGGAGAAGTTTCTTGATGACAAATTCACAGCATTAAACAGCCAAGGTTAACTCGAGGGAGGAAGAAAACATATAGTCATTTTTTTTTGGTTTTGGTAGTGGTATAAAATTTAAAGAATTCAACACACAGCAGCAGTAACAGATAAAGAATTTGAGAAAATACAAAAATAGATTTTCAGTACGAATTTAAAGAAAAAGGAAGAATTCATAATACGCAATATGAGAGAAACACAGCAGGTCACAGAGCCAGAAGAAAATAATTCTTAGGGATTATAAAATTATAAAAATTACTCTACAGCTGCTGTAAAGACCTCAGTTTCCCGCTAAACTAATACTTAATTTACCCACAACAAATTATAAAATTGAAAACAGCAGAACAAATTCGTCCAGACACAAATATTTTAGGACTCAATTGAAAAAGCAATAAATCACAGAGAAAAAAGAAGGTGGTGGCTGTTTTTTATTTGTATACACCAAAATGTAAGAGAGGACAATATAGTGTCAATATGCCTGCAAAATCCCGAATTCAAAGTATTGAAAACAGTATTTTTTTGGCGGAATGCGACAAAAAATTTAATTTTAAACGCTTCTTGTGCTATAAATTATGTCTTCCTTTAATAATTGTAATATTAATAAAAGAATGAATGACAAGCAAGTTTGTAGCAACAAATGTCATCAACCTTCTTTGAAAAATGTCGAAAATGCCACCATCTTCTATTATTTCGCCATGTCAAAAAAGGTACTTGTATCTTTTTACTTTGGGCCTGAGACGACTTGAAGAACAACCTTGAAACATTAGTAAAAATGTACAAAAACTACTTTTCTTGGAACTTGATGCCTCTACAAGTGCAAACCAGTGCTTGGATAACCGGTCGTCATAGAGTCTGGCAAAATGAGATGCAATGCAAGGTATGGAAACTTCAAAAGCGAAGGAGAAATAATTTACAAAGGAACCTGACGAGAAATTTGATAACACATTATTAAAAAGACAGTAACTAAATTATAAAACATACAAAACAGGAATGTAGGGATAACGAAGAAGTGTTAAATTTTATGGGTAAGTTTGAATTTCTCTTCAGTTCCGATGTAAAGAATTTCTTACATACATGGGGAAAAGCCTACTGCAAAAAACCTTCACAATTGAAGTAAAAGTTGAAGACTTCTTCTTTCTTCGATAAAAGGGTGTATGAGGCTTACAGTACTGCTAAGATTGTGCAATTTTCATGACATTTACATTGAATGCAATTTACTGACATTTGACTTACTTCTACAAAAATAAGAAAAAATTCGAAGCAGATTCAGAGAAAAATCGATGGCAGAACTACTGAATAGATTACCTGAAGTGAAAGAATGACGCTGTACAATTTTGGCAGCAACAGAGGCTTCATACGTCCTTTTATTAAAGAAGTCCTCAATTAAGGTAGGTGCATAAAATCATGGAACGAGGTGGAAAATGAGGTCTCAAAGCTGTTAGGCCTTTTCGAGAAAAATAATTAAAATCAAATGAATGTGTAGTCATTTCTGGAAATACAGATTTTGATTCTGAAAAACAACGTCAGATTTGCTTGGAAAGTAGTAACATTTTTTCAAAATTAGTCTTTATACGCAGAAATTGTTGACTTCGCTATTTTTAACTTTTTAAATAACTTGTCCTTAATACGTTTTGACGAAAGAAAACATAATAGTCTTTTGGGAAAAAAATTGAGATACATTAAGAAATAAAAGGCGATTTTAAGGGGGTCAAAAAGATTTTAGAAGTCTGTCACTTACGGGAATTGATAATGAATGCATCAGTACTTGGTATAATTATTGAGTGCTTCGAGTTCAGAGAAAGGGTTCTAATGCAAGTGAAGGTGTCTTTCTTTTGAACGTATTTCTGCCAAACGGAACTATGTGCATTAAGATACAGGGTTATTCAAAAGTTACACACCACTGGCCATAACTTTAGTTCTAATTATGATATCGATTTGCGGTTTGTGGCGTCCTTCCTCATATCGAGGGGGAAACTTTTTGAGGTACTTTTCAGTTCTTCACCCCCCCAGGGGGAGGGGGGGCGGGGGGCAACTCAAAAATTTCAAATGGCAACCCCCATCATGTGATACATCGTTAGAAAGAGCATGAAAAAAGAAAATTTTTGGCGCAAACCGGAAGTCGATCTGACCCCCCTGTCAAAAGTTAGGGGGGTCCAAAGGTTATTTAGGGGGTCCGCACCTTCATTTTTTAGAGTAGCTTCGGCGGCTCTTGGACATACCGTTTCTCTTTTCAAAGAGTCCTCGAATACTCCAAGTCTGATACCGAAGTCTTCATATTGCCCCCGGGCCACCACAGCCCCCCCGTAGGGGGGGGGATGGGCCTGTTACAATGAAACATTGCATTAAAATGCGAAAAGTCACAGAAGAGCTTCAAACCTAGTATCAAATCCGAGTGGACCTTCTTGCCAAATGTTAACGCAAACGCAGCCTGCGACTTTAAAGTGAGTTTTCAAAACTCTTAGCCCCCTGCCCCCCCTCATTTTTGGTTGCAGAGCGGGTAAAAACCGGGAAATTCACTACAAATAATGCCCGAAACTAATGTCCAACTTGAGGAGGACCCTTGAAACGTTGCGATCAGTCGGAGCATTGAAATACAAGGACTGCCACCCCCTTAAAGTACGGAAACATCCAAAACACCCCCGCTGCCCCCCTCATTTTTCGTTGCAGAGCGGGTAAAAACCGGGAAAATCGCCAGAAATGATGCCCCGGTTCTTACCAGCTCTGCAACGAAAAAAGAGGGGGCAGCGGGGGTTTTATGGATGTTTCCGTCCTTAAAGTGGGCGGCAGTTCCTGTGTTGCAGTTCTCCGACTGAGCGCAACGTTTCAAGGGTTCTCGTCAAGTTCTACAGTGGTTTCGGGCATCATTTCTGGCGATTTTCCCGGTTTTTACCCGCTCCGCAACGAAAAATGAGGGGGGCAGCGGGGGTGTTTTGGATGTTTCCGTACTTTAAGGGGGTGGCAGTCCTTGTATTTCAATGCTCCGACTGATCGCAACGTTTCAAGGGTCCTCCTCAAGTTGGACATTAGTTTCGGGCATTATTTGTAGTGAATTTACCGGTTTTCACCCGCTCTGCAACCAAAAATGAGGGGGGGGCAGGGGGCTAAGAGTTTTGAAAACTCACTTTAAAGTCGCAGGCTGCGTTTGCATTAACATTTGGCAAGAAGGTCCACTCGGATTTGATACTAGGTTTGAAGCTCTTCTGTGACTTTTCGCATTTTAATGCAATGTTTCATTGTAACAGGCCCATCCCCCCCCCTACGGGGGGGCTGTGGTGGCCCGGGGGCAATATGAAGACTTCGGTATCAGACTTGGAGTATTCGAGGACTCTTTGAAAAGAGAAACGGTATGTCCAAGAGCCGCCGAAGCTACTCTAAAAAATGAAGGTGCGGACCCCCCTAACTTTTGACAGGGGGGTCAGATCGACTTCCGGTTTGCGCCAAAAATTTTCTTTTTTCATGCTCTTTCTAACGATGTATCACATGATGGGGGTTGCCATTTGAAATTTTTAAGTTGCCCCCCGCCCCCCCTCCCCCTGGGGGGGTGAAGAACTGAAAAGTACCTCAAAAAGTTTCCCCCTCGATATGAGGAAGGACGCCACAAACCGCAAATCGATATCATAATTAGAACTAAAGTTATGGCCAGTGGTGCGTAACTTTTGAATAACCCTGTATGAGCCCTGAGATCTATAAGAATATATGCAGAACAGGGCTCACGTCATTATGCACATAGTTTCGTTTGGCAGAAATACATACTTTATGACCAGTACTATGAGCAAAAGTATTAACCGACTTCCTTACAAAAGGAAAACAAGGACCATGATTTGAATTACAGGCCTCATAGCATCCCTTCATTTTAAGGAGATAAGGGGAATCGTCTCTGATTGCCTGACCCTCCTACTAATTCCCCCAGTAGGGTGGTGTCTAAATCTTTTGGCCTTCCGCGGAATAACATGGGATTTTTCATTCCAATAAAATAACTCAAAAATGAAGAAAAATGGATACATCGCAAACATCACAAATCAATTCGTGAGATTTTTTGGAAGAAAAAGGTTGGTAGTAAGTCCCACTTTTTTTTCATAATGAATGAGAAATCACTTTTTGGATATCCTCAGAATAGCGAACAGTTGCAGGGTAGTGACTAAGAATTCATCGCACCACTACCCACTATTTTTAATATTTTCAAAAAAGAATTCCTTGCCTAAATAGAAAGGAAGTGGAACTTATTACCCATCAATCTCTGCAGGAAATTCTCAAGAAGTGGTCATTGAAATTTTTGACTTATAAATACTCCTTCATTTGGGGTTTTTTTCATTCCCAAACATAACCCCATGCTGTTTCACATGAGAGGGAAAATTTGGGCACCAGCTGATGGTGAATATTAGCAGGAACTGTCAGGCAGGTAGAAAAAACTCGCCATTTTGACTTAAAAGTAGGAGGTGCCACTCCACCCATGGTAGGCATTGCATTCTCTTTGCTTTCTTGTAATGGTTTTATGGAATTAATTTCTGTGAATTGCTGCAAGAGAGACCAATAATTCAGGTTACCTCTGATTAAAATATTGAAATACGACAACTGGCCTGACAACTTCTTTTGAGTTTACCATAGAGTACCAACATTGCACATTGAAGCTAGCTTAACAAAGATAATAAAATCTAAATTTCGTAAAGGACTGGAAAACAAGATAAGCAGGTGACTGATATAACATTAAAAACAAACTTTAACGAAGTTTAAGACCAGTGACTCTTCAACATTTGCTTCTTGAATAGATCAGTCAATCGGTCGTTCAGAAAAGCTCACTTGGGAGTAGAATGTCCTCCATATTTGGTAAAACAAGATTTTTCTGCAAGACAAAAACAAATGCTGAATTAGAAAAAAAAGTATGAATGCAAAATAAACCAAAACAGGAATTTAAAAGTTAATACCAGTTTAAATTTTTCATCAGAACGAAAAACAACTCTAAATCACCAACACACCTTGTCAAAAAACAAGTGTGTCTTGTAATAGATGTGGAGAGATATTGAGTGTGAATCAACGATCTAAAAACTATAGATTGGTGGTGGCCTACGAAAAAACGTAAGACACATAGAGCGGTCGTTCGATAGGCGGGCGGGGAGTGGAAATGGCCAATTGCTATCTTTGTCATAACCTCAAATACATGGAATCTTACGGGAGTTTCTAGAATAAATGATTTAGCGTTTAAATTTTCATCGTAAATGCACTTGATGAATGGCTAAGTTCCATAACTGGACACAGATTTTCAAATAATTGGTTCTAAATTTGATAAAGTCCGTATTCAGCAACAGTCCCATAAGAAGCCATAGAAACCGACTACCTTCTTCCGAACCTAATTGTTGCTCCTGGTGTGTTACGAATTTTACTGTTGACGTAACATAGGAACCCCCTATCTATAGTTTCTAGATTATTGGTGTGAATTCATTTACTTTGGCATTGCATTGTTCGACACTTCAAAATTGTTTCTAGGTTTCTACATATACTTGCAATTTCCCACTTTTGGCAAGAGAAAAATCTGTAAGGAAGGAAATTAAATTCCAAACTTCGAGAGAGTAAAATTGGAGCTAAAGATCGAGGTAAGTGAAACGATGGTATGCTCTTTCGCTATTCAAGCACCTTAAATTTGAAAATTGTCAATAGCATTGGTTCTATTTCAGTCTTGGCAGGAAATTTGGCCCATGGGAATGAGCAGACTAATAGGAATCGAAAACTGTAGAATTGGAAGCAGCATTTCAGTGCCCAGGAAATGAGCAAACCAATAAGAATAAAATATTGCAGAATTGGAGCCCTCTGTCAAACTTCTCATAAACACTGAAAAAAACCCAAGCAACTGAGAGTTTTGTCGATTATGGATGGTCTACATCAGAGGAGCATATCTTTGTTTCACTTACCTTGGCTATTGATGGTTCAAAAACAAAAAACATTGCCCTTTAAAGCCATAGTCCTATCACACAAAAAAACAGGTGACTGGCCTTGTCAGAGTCCAACCCTGCCACTCTCATCTGATATAAGGAAGCTCAAAAAAAACTTCTTTGGCTTCCCAAGACGCTGAGGATTAAGCTTTGTCAGAGCGGTGGACAGGAACTCTGCTATCTCCAATCACTTGAAATAAGTGTGCCTTCAGGCCAAATTTTGAAATTGTATGATTATCGACACAACGAGAGCAGACTATGAGGGAATTAAGTCACGAGATTGGCCTTAAAAGTGGCTCTTTAAAGTACCAAAGTAGGATGGAATTGACAACAAGATTGAACCACCTTTATTTTAATTGGCTATAGCTTATCATCAATGCCAACGAACATACGCACAACAAAATGATGACTGAAGGTTGAATGACAAAGCTGACCAATCGCATACCTTCATTCCTTTTTCCTCTTGTCTGATCTAGTTGACAAACACAAAATTTCAACAATGAGCCCACAACATTTCAGCTTGAAAGAAACTTATCTTAAAATGTAAGGTGGAAGTCTTGCGTTCTATTGGTTCTAAAAAAATTTCTGCATTTTTCATTCAATTTTTATTTGATTTGAAATATAACTGATTAATGTTGGTACCTCCATTTCTCTAATGAGCAACTTCCTGATCCACTTCGAAACTTCCATGTAGGACACTTCTGTTTCGCCGAATCGTGGGTAGCACGAAAGCACCATTTTAGGGTTATTCCGAAAACCAATCCTGAAATAGCATGGAAAATTTGAGGTGTCAATTAACTAAATACATCCAACAAAGAGTACCACTAAAAGGAGTAAAATGTGATACTGAAGTCCCGCACCATCTCTGTAACTTTTAAACAAATCGAGATGGAGACTTGAAATTTTCTGAGAGCCCATACAAGAAGCTATTTTTGAGACCCCTTAAAATGTTGGGGGGACCACCTTGAGAGGAGGGGAGCAAGGATCCTGACTTCTTTCTCAAAAGGCAACCCCCACATGTAATCTTTTCCTTCAAAATTTTGAGGGGTCCCAAAAATAGTTTTTTATAATTTTGGTGTACTCCCAAAATTTCAAATCTACGTATCCAAAGGACCCCGCACACCTCTTATGGGAAGCTGCACTTACAGGGCTGTGACTTAAAAGTTGGACGAGCTAATTGGAGGCTGTTGTATACCCATGATAAGTCACATCATTTGCACCCAAAACGAAACAATTACAATTTTATTTTCAAAGCAACATCTCTAAATGGACATATTCCATGGGGACCTAGGAAATCAAAAAGTCAATGAAATATTCATATACACAATGAAGTAGGTATGATATAATAATATGCTACTGAAGTTCCTCATGCGAAATTCATGACAGATTACTGAAACTGAGATCAAGGATATTTAAAGGGGATTTAATCACTTGTAAGTGAAATTAAAGACATTTCGGAGACTTCCAATAATTGTATAAAAAAAAGGGCTTGAATATTTTTTTCAGGGACCTCCACGTAAGTTTCTAAGCATGCATGAAGGTTACTTCAAACATGAAAGTTTCTTCTTCTGATCCATTTATTTTCTGCTAGGAATGTGAGAAGGCTGACTTATGATGTATACACAAAATTGTTTGACACATCCAAAGTCTCTACGGCAAAGGGGACCAAGCATGAAGAACAATGCAATGACCTCAAAAAATGCATTAAACTTCGAAACTTACCATATTCTGTCAGCAGGAGGCGGAGGAATGTTGATAACTAGAGTACCACACAGCCACTTCAGCTCCACCATCAGAGACAAATCAGTATTTGAGACATTTTCAACAACTCGTTTAACGTATTTGTTTTCAATGAATGACTCAAAAATTTTGGTAGATGTGAATTTGTCTACAAACTGGAGCACTTTTTGCCCGGTCTTCTTTTGTGCCCGGGGCTTACTACTTGGATTTGATCCAGACCCCAACTCATTCTCTAGCTCTGCATCCAACGCCATCTCTAAAAGCTTATCCTCATCAGATGAGTTTCCAGAGCTTTCAGATTCTACATCGCTGTGAAATGCTGCAGAGCGTCTGTAAAAGAATATTGAAGAATCTTGCTTACTTTTTAGCAACACTTTGACTGCCAACTTGTTATTCTGTAGCAGTTCCTATTATTGGGTATAAAGTCTTAAATTTTGTCTTATGTTGAAACGAAGTATGAGGGCACCTGAGAGATATTCGGTGCACCGACAATTGTAAATACTATGCCATGTTGTTGAAACGCCTGATTCTCATTCCTGATCCGTCACCCTTCTGGTGAGGAACCTTGAGTCATAATGACTACCACTGCAGGTTTAAGGGCACATACTCAACTACTACACATGGATGTTTGCACAAGACTGTTAAACCTTGCGAAAATAGACATTGATATTTTGATGAAACTCAAAAGAGCTTCTTGCCTTCGATGGATTGATTCAGGGGCTGCGCCACTTCATACATTAATTTTTTTAAGACCAGAATCTGATTAGCTTGTTTTAATGTTGTTGCTTTTTTAGGGCGTGGAAACATACTAACGAGCCAATCAAGCAAGGAACAAGGATGCAAGATAAGAGATTTTTTTTTTTTTTTTTTTACATGTGCACCATTCAATGTATCACATGCCGCAGTCACTAAATCAGTCCATGTCAAATTATATTCTGATTAATGGTTTCTACACTTCAATTTTTCAGTATGAAAATGTGATGAAAACAACAGCATCAGGTTCTAACTAAATTTCTAAAATTCTTGGGGTCATTAAAATTGTATTCAAATTTCATGAAGGATGGACCCAGAGACCTTGGCCTCTGATTCTCAAAGGGAAGGGAGGAAGCATGACAGAAATCTGGAATGTAGATATGGGAGATTTTAAAACAAAAATTTCCAATTCTACTGGAAATGTAGGACTGGAAGAGCCTCTAAAATGACAACATAGGAACATAAAATTAAATTGTGCTAACTTATCTGAAAGTGAAGATGAGTCTTGTATCATAACTGATCAGCAGTATTCAAGAAAGTTCTTCTGAAATATTTGGACAGAATTCCTGGTTAGGCATCCCCATGCGATTGGAATTATTTCTTATTACAATAATTTGGATGTACTCGGGTGAAAATCAAATAAAAAGATAAACTTTAAAAAATAAAAAAAGGCCCTATCAGGCTCAGAGAGGTAATAAAAAGAAGCAAGGAGTATAAATACTAGAGGGTACTTACGGTAATGATTCTGGCAAGTCATCAGGCAAAAGAGGAACTTGAGGCGAAATAAGATTGGTGAGAGAGGTTGAGATGGGCGTTTTGGCGTCCACCTTTTTCAGTTTCAGTAGATTGAGCTTGGTGTCGATAGCAAGTTTTGAGGATCCACTATAGACAACATCCAAATCAACCCAGATCCCTCGGTCATCCAACGTTGGACGACTTGCACGCTTTATCACAGGGTAGACATCTTCGATTTCAAGGTTGCTTACATTCAGAGCATCCATGAATCGGGGTAGCTGGAACACGAAACAGGACCCTCATGTAAAGAATTTCTTTAATGAAAGATGATTACTAAATATTCTCACTGAGTCAGAAAGTGCCACTGGTTTTCTCTGAAACAAACTTCTAAGCTCAAAAAAGTTCTCAAAGTTGAGGCTGTGATGAGAGGGGTAGCTTATGTTACAAGAGATGTTCAGATTCTAGTGCCTAGTTCCCAGACAAGATCGTAACTCTTCTAATACATTCTCTTCCTATCTGTGCAAGAAGAGTTTGACCGGATTTAGATGTTAACTCTCTCGTGACAAAAGAGATTCCCTCTATTGCAACCTTAATTTTGAGAGCTTTTTTTGAGCTTGAGAGTTCATTACAGAGAAAACCAGTGGCACCAATGTGTCAATTGTAAAATTTTACACAGGATGAAGTACAAAGAATAAATCCCTGTGGGACAAAAGAGCTCCATTTCTTCATTGAAATGAAATTTCAGAATGCAAGCACTGAACAATTACTTGATTTTATGATTGAGTCAGAAAGAACAATTGGACGTATTTCTATCAAACGGACCTAAGCGCCATAAGGTGAGGAAGGTAGAGGGGGGCTTGGATTGGCGGCGGAATCGGGCGTCCGGCTTATTCCGTCCTATACTCGCAATGCTTCTCCATAGCGCTTAGGTCCGTTTGACAGAACGCGCTATCCAGAATTCTAAATTCCTCAAAAGGAACTCAAATTGGCGCTTAGTTCCGTTTGATAGAAATACTTCCAATTCAAACTATTTTCTATCAATTGCTAAAAACTATTACTTAAACTTTCCGGGTTTATTACATCCACATAAACTTCCCCTCATGTTGCACCCCTGGCCTGTGAAAACTAAAACTCATATTAGTCCTTAAATTTCATCCAAAGATAGTCCAAGTTGTCCATTTAACTGTTTAAAAAAATATATGAAAATTAATTGAAGCAAACATCTTCAAAAACAGCTAACATGAGTTACTGAGATTGACAAAACTATCAAAAGTTATGAAACATGATAAAAAAACCAATACAGTAGATTTATATTTCTTGTGGGAAGAAGAATAAAAGCAGTTATTATATTCACCCCCTACGGCTCTGAAACGTTATCGTTATCCATTAAGATTCCATGAATTTATTCACCTATAGAAAGTATACTAAAAACAGAGGCAAAAGAGAGGAGTAAAGATAACTCACCGATACCAGACGTAGTTTTTGTTGAATTTTATTTTTGATAAGGCTACAAATCAAAGAATTTTTACTGAACTCGTGCGTAACTCTTCCAATGATTGCGTTGAGCCACATCAGCTGAATTTCAACATCTGGACTACAATCATCTTCATTTACTATTGAGATCTGCAAAATCCCATAAAGAAATAAATTTAGTGCGAAATAAGTATTACATGGAGTGTGAGGTAAAACATACAAAAAGAGTGGATATAACTAGGCTTGGAAATGTAAATAATAGAGAGCACGGTCCAGCAACCGCAACCCCCTCCACACCTCTTGTCCAGGAGAAAGGCCTTGACTCAGAAGAGAGTGTAAGACTAAAAATAAGAAGGCTACCACTACTCTTACAAAATTTATATTAAGAGAGATCTTCATTTGCAGTAGCTACTGAGTGCTTGATTTGCCTTAAAATATATAAAAAAACTTTCCACTTCCCCAATTTCTCAGAAGCACCATAATTTATGTGTTCTAATCAGAGGAAATACATGTACACAAGATCTTCTGCCAGCTGCCTCGCAATAAGAGCATACATTTTAATTTAAAGAAGTTACTCACATCATTAGGAGCTTTAGGAACAATGTTTTGCTGTAGATTGTACATGTAGCTTAGATATTTGCTCTTGCGCACAGGAAGAGGTACTTCAGAGCCATCCAGTGAATTACTTGCAACTTTCAGCCCTTCGCGTTCCTCGATTTTTGTTTCTCCATGCGAGATCTTGAACTTAGTTGCTGCAGACAAGTAACGAAACCAGGCTTCTTTCTGCCGATTTGTTCGGCAAAATAAATACAAGTACTGTATTTCCTCCGACATTTTCTTTTGGGAGCTTGGGATGTCATCATCCTCATCCATCAAATGCCCCTCCAATGGGTTTGGTGAGGATGAAGATTCGACTTGACCTGGAAATAGAAATTCATAATTTCAAAAATGGCTGCTTTAGATTTATCTAATTTTCTCTATACCCGTCACAGCAATCCAAAATTTCTGCTTTAAAAAAAAAAAAAAAAAAACACACACACACACACAGTTTGCAGTGATAAAGATTATTCCTGACTGGAATGTTACACTTGGATTTGATCAAAACAGAATGAAAGGTCTTGATACAAGCAAGTCACTATGTAGAAGTTTGTCAACAGGGTTGCAAATTTCAGTTGACTGCTGCAGAAATTTGACTTAAGTTAACATAGTTTTTAACATAGCTCTTTAGAAAAAAGGCTGAGGCATGACAAAAAAAAAAAAATGAATAAAGTTTGGAGTTTCACACTTTCAATCTTGCGAACTGAAAGAAAGGTAGGTATGTGCAAATTCGTCACTCTAAAAATACCCCATTCATTCTAAGAAAATCACAAACAATTACCTTCTTTGAAACCACACAGCCTTTTGAGTAGAAGAGTCTCTTCATCGGATGAAATGATATGCTTCTTGCCACGATATGATAATTTATTCTGGCTTTCTTTCCCCTCTTCTTCGTCGGTTTTTTCGATATCAAAGAACTCTTCATCATCGTCATCAAGCTGAGCTGAGGAGGATGCTGGGAGGAGCTCAGACTCTGAGCCAACAAAAAACTCATCAACTTTTCTGTGGATGTTGTCAACACTTGTCGATTTCATTTTGGCACCTTTTAGATTGTCTTGTTTTCTCACACTTGGAGGGCTCCTTGAAAAACTTTTGTTTTGAGCTGGCTGTTCTTGCATAACAATGCTTCCATCCCGATTTTTGTATCTAAAATTTTCAGAGTCTGCTGAGTGAGATGCCTCTTTAGCATTTTTACTTTGGCTCTCATTCATTGTGGATTCACCTGGAAATAACAATATTATTCAATTATAGTGTTAATGCTAAATGTTTATGACAGTGTTACCTAAACATATTCGTATCATTAGACATGATAAGGTATTGATAATAATTTTTTTAAGACACAATGTGAATAATAGTCGCTGGTAGGGCTAAGCAAATAGTGAATTTTTCAAAAAAAGCGAATATCGAATAATTTTGCTATAATTATTCACAACTACGAATTGTAAAAAAAATAATTTAAAATGACTTTTCTAGGTGCGAAAATTCGCAATTATTACAAAAGTCGACAGATAGGTGTGATTAATTTTATTTTTTACTTTTGTAGCAACCGAGATATGAGGCCAATCGCAATCATTGTTCGTAAACTCGGTAAAGATCAAAGGAGATCCGCCGTTTGTGATGTCTCGGATGGAGGCCTAGCGCAGGTCTTCGCAACAATGCACAATTGCCACTCAGAAAAATTTGTTTGTTTTGACGGCACAAATATTTGAAAATGTTGGTTCGAAAATTTACTATTCGCAATTGCCAATAGTGCTCATGTTAGACAAAGTGAATATTCGCACAGCCCTAGCTGCTGGTCATAAAATTCAAATTCTTTGGGTCGTATTAAACAATTTTACCTATTTTTCTCAGCAATGATCCTTTCAACATTCCATTACCTTTCAATGACAGAATTGGATATTTGCTGGTGTTACTAATCTGAGAGAAAAAATTAGAGAAGGGTCTCGTCCGATATGACCCTCACGGACAGATACTTTAAAGTGCTGCTGAAACTTACTATTGACTCTTGAGAGATTGAGTGAGAAATCTGAGGCAGATCGGCTGACATAGTTTGCAGCTGGCACCCAGGTTGCATCATCACTAATTGTCGACTGTCCTTTGCCACGAACACAAGCACCAATGAATGAGTGTGGAAGCAGTTTAATCCTGATTGGGAACCTGCGACTCCACTTTCTGCAACCAAAATCAAGAAACTTAGTCAGGAAGAATGCTTAAGTTACATGCTAGAACTTATTGAGGTTTGTGGAAATCATTTGAACACTAAGAAGAGGAAAGAGCGACAGGATTGTACACTATTTTATTAAAGTTTGGGACCTTAATGCCAGCAAGGCCATTATTGAAATGACATATAGTCAATATCATGTCAATAATCGCCCCGTAGAAAATTAAAACTGAGGTACTGATGCAACGGCTGAAAGGAGTGCTCAACAAATATTTCAGCACAAAAATGTCCCAAAATTTCTTACCAAATCGAAGTAATGACATAGATGATTAAAGCTTAAAATCCATAGCTTGGAGTAAAACCCAAGTTAAGTATTCATCTCCTATGTTCTGGGTCACAAATTATCAGATTAAAATGCACCTATGAAAAAGGGAAAAATGGCTAGATACTTATACCTTGTAATACTAACAAGTTTTTTTTTTTTTTTTTTTTTTTACTTCTTCAAATAGCCCACAAGGGCTAATCCCACGCTTTAAGTCCCATCCCCCCTCCGTCCCTACTGAACCAGTCCCAGGCAACCATTGTTTGAGACCATCAAACTCAGGTCGCCTGGCCGGGAATCGAACCCGGGACCTCCCGACATAGAGCAAGCGCTACAACCACTACACCATAGGAGGCCGACAAGTGTTTTCTAGCAGAAGCTCAAATATACATTTTCTGATCCAACTTGACAAATATTCCTCCTGAAAAATTTGCACACATGCACTGAAGTTTTCTTGGTATGGATGGTCAAAATTTTAAGATTTGTTATCAATGTCGTGTTTGACATATTTTTCTTTCATAAAATCAGTATACTATCCTATCCCCGAAGTGCTTTTAATAGAGGCTGACTAAATTCGAAAATTCAAAACTTTTCCTCACAATGCATGAGGGCTTCTGTTACTTCTGTTACTTCTGTTAAAATCATATAGTACTTTTTCCCATGAGATTGATACTTTTCCGAGTACATATTCTAAGAGTCTTCAATCCATGGAGTCTCCATGGATTTTCATTAATTCTCTTTATGAGAGCACATAGCAAGTATGCATTCACCATGAAACGTTTCCCCTTCCTACACACACTGACACATAAATTCAATGGATTTTGTTCAGGAAGGAATATTCTCTCTTTGCATTCAATGTCTTGTTTCTGTGAGATCTATGCACTTACCAGATGTTTTGTCACCTCATGCAAGCACCTGATGTGACCTGTCATGTTGACTTCTTATCATGAACGCTATAGATTGCTTTTTTTGCAAGAATTCAACAGAAATTGAGAAAGTTTATCAGCAACAAAACTTGACGAGAAACTTACAGTAATTAAGAGATTGACCCCAAATATGCTTACCGTTTTCTGATGAGTCCCTCGGGTACCAAGTCTACACAACAATCTGTGATGACATACATACGCTTTTCATTGAATAACATTTTGTACTGGGGCTCATTCCATACAGCTCTTTTTGGGATTTTGAAGCGTGGGGTTGAAATGAAGAGAATGGGACCATCTAAATGAACGTACACCGTCTCAGTTCTTGATAGTTGGAAACATTCAGAGCTATAATCACCATCCATTAACTCATTCATCCAGTCCTGGGTGAATCAAGAATAGTTATCAGAATTAATTGAAGCAGTCTGATAAAGTAGATAATTTGAAAATGATTAAATTAAGAAGCGGTAATATTATTGGTGGTGGGACAAGAGATACTGTTTGAAACATTAGTGTTTGGCCCCATGCTTAGGAAGAAATCCCTTTTACCACTATATTTGGTACACTAGGGGTTGATAACAAGAATCAAAACCGGAAAATACACTGCGGTCGACCATTGAGACAATTCCAAGCAACTTCATAAAACTGACTAAATTGCATTATATTTTAGAAAGATTTTGGCTGCCAACGGTTGATAGCGCTCGCTTTTGGTAAAAAAAATTAAAAACCAAATACTGGAGTCATTAAGAGAAAAAAATTTCTTGAAAAACACAGTTCCGGTAAATCTCATTTTGCTTTAATAGTAAATTTCTCCGACAAAACGCTGAATACAAGGATTGCAGTCTGCAACAATTGGCAGAAAACCAAGTTCCAATTTTGTGTATATCTTGTACTCTAAGAATTGTCTCACCTGGTGAACTATTTTCTCAGGTAGCGAATTGAAGATGGCTGAATCACTTAGGACTGGAACTCCCTCCTCATTTAAAAATGCCGTGTAAAAGAGCATGTCATCACTGCAGTTCATTGGCTGGAATCCACACATTTTTTGCAGCATCTGGATTACATTTTTCAATTCTATGGATAAAATAAATCCAGCGAAGAATGCCGACTGAAAAGAAAAAAAGTTCGTAAAAGCATTTTTTTGATAATTAAGTACACAGAAAATGCATCTCTCTCCATCATTTGACTTCACAGATTGGAGTTTGATAAAACGATTGGGCTAGAACCATGCTGACACTCATGTTTTTTTCCCCAGTAGAGAGCGCACCTGTCCAGAGGGAAGAGCAAACGGGACTGCATTGGGGTAAGCTTGATGTTGTATCTTCATGTACCATCAATTTTGAAAATTTTCTAGAGGAGGCCCACCGAAACACCCCTTTTCCGGCTCAGGGACCTCCAATCAGATCATCTAGAGGTCAGTCACTTTAATTTGTCCCAGGGCCCTTATTGTGTTTGGGCAGCCCTGGTAGAAAAAATTATTGCCCAATTTCTTGGTTGCATTCAAAAGCAAGGCTATTGCAGTGTAGGAAGTTATTGTCCATTCTTTAAAAAAACAATATCTCGATTAATATTGAACAAAACAAATTGATAATTGGACTAACTTCATTGTTTTCCACTCACCTGCCATGATAAATTATTAAGTTACAATTCTGGGACAAGCACAGCTGCCCGATTCTCTCTTCAAATTTGAACTGCAAAGGGAATAGGATATTAGACTCACCACATAGCCTGGGGTATTGTAGTGGATAAAAAAGAAGAAAACAGCACCAAAAAACACTTTCCACCAGTTGATGGCCAGCATGAGTGCCTCAACACTAATTTTTCGCCGAGAGAGTGGCTTCTCCTTGGGAATTTGTCGCGAAACTTCTGGCTGATTCATCTTGTAATGAACTGTAGCCTCCTCTGCCTCTTCCACCTTCTCTGCATCGACCACGCCTTTGATTAAATACGAGCGCTTCCGATTTTTAAAATACGATCTGATTGATGGATTAGACTTAGTTGGAGCACTGCTCTTTTTCCCAAGGGACTTTTTCTCTTCATTTGATGATTTGTCCAACTCCTTTTCGGTTCTCTTTTCATTGGTTTCGTTGGTATTTGCCGGAGCTGGGCTCTTGGTGCCATCTTGACTTATGAGCTTGCTATCCAGGTACAAGCTAAGTTTTTCCAGTCGCTTTGCTTTGGTTAAATTTTCGGTCTCTGACTTGATGTCATCAGTATTGTTTGTGTCACCGCAAGAGAGGTACGTAGGGTCATCGAAACTTCTGGCGGTGGGTGATGGTTCTGGTGACAAAAACTCTGGGTCTTTGTCACTAAAACTAGAATCTCTGCCCACTTTACTTTCTCTCAGTTCATGCACCTTCTTTGTGAAACGCCCTTTCCAGTCAGAGAAATAATTTCTATTGTCACTACCTGTTTCGAACAAATGACAGACATTAAAATCAAATAAGGTGAATATTTGACTAATGATGCCGCTTTAAATTTATCCTCCTTTCTTTTAAATTAATTATTTTTTATGTAAAATAATAAGAATTGATCAAGTAACAGATATATGATCGGCAGACAGAAAGGCTGAATAATCTATGAAATCTGGGACATATTAATAAGAAGGGTAGATGAAATTACTCATTTTTTCTGCGGTACAATTCACGATGAAAAAGAGCTATACAAATAACTCAAAATGAGATCCCAGAGACTAAATTCCCTTGAAAAGCTTTAGTGCTTTGTCATTGCATGGCAGATTTTGTCTTTAGAGAGGACTGGACACTAATTTAAATAAAATATATTTGAGATTATTTGATTTTTGTTAACACAATACAAAGACTGAGGTCAATGAGCCTGTTGCATGCAAGAGATACAGCCGTGCGAATAGACTTATTAGAGGTTAAATGACATGAAAATTACGATGGTCACATTATAAAAGTCTGAAATACACTCCTTACTGCGCAATTTGCGTTGTTAGGAGCGCGCTTTTTCAAATTTCCCGCGTCTAGGGGCAGTTTTCTAACGGAAACAATTAACGGCAACTCGTGGCTATTTCCGGTCAACTGAAACTGACAACATAACCTAAAAATCGGAGCTTGTGATATCGTGAAATGAAATGTAGAAGGATTGCGTTGGATATTTAAAAGTTGATCGATTTGGTTACCGCATAAAGCGTATATGGACCACTATAAGAGATCACGTTGGGTTTGTGAACAAACTGAAGGAAAAAATAACAACAACAAGAACAACGACTCGGCATCTTCCGGAAATCACCGAGCCCGCCGTTTGCTCGTTTCCGGTGATTAGAAAACTGCCCCCAGATGCGGGAAATTTGAAAAAGCGCGCTCCTAACAACGCAAATTGCGCAGTAAGGAGTGTATTTCAGACTTATTTAATGTGACCATCGTAATTTTCGTGTCATTTAACCTCTATAAAGTCTATTCGCGCGGCTGTATCTCTTGCATGCAACAGGCCCATTGAGCATAAAATTAAGTACATGTCATAAAGACAACCGATACAAAAAATGCTTGCTTAAAATTATGTACACTTTTCTTTCACCTGTGTCATACAATCAAATAAAAAGAATGAAATACTATATATTTTTGTCAATGTGATTCTGACTATCTGTGCGATTCTTTGTGCTTGTATATATATACTTTTTCATATATGATGCGGGTCCTAGTCAAGATTTTTCAAGGGTCTAAGAGGTGCTAAAATCATTCCGTTCTGTTAATACACCATGTTAAGCCACCCCCTCTGTTAATGGTTTCCTGCATTGAACAAATCTTAATGAATATAGTTGAGTGTTCTAGGCAGTATAAGATTGATTCAAATAAGGAAAGTTTGCAATATCCAAGCATTTTTTTTTGGTCATTTGAATCATACGATGAATGAATAAAATTAAAAATTTCGATTACTTACCTACTACAGGCTGGTCCGGTATTGAGGAAATGGGGGAGCCAGAATCGACTGTCTTGGAACGTTTAAAGCGACTATGGAAATATTTAATGGGTGATGAGTCTCTATTTTGCTCCACACCATCGTTTTGCACATTTTTGGGTGACGAACATGAGCTTACTGACTCTGATGAGCTTTGGTTTTCCTCTTCTTCACCTGTTCATAAATACAATTAGTTTAGACCTTCGATTGATTTATCGAAAAACTTTTTGACAGAAGAAAAATTGTAAAATCAAAGGTGAATTTTCAGACTCGAAGTTGTGCTTTATAAAAATTAGAGAGAAAAGAGAGGTCAGTATTTCGGGTTTCTTTGAAGGAAGTTGGTGATGTAAGTAAGTACAGGCATTTTTTCAGAGATTTTCTAAAAAATGAAGAAGTTTACAGGATAAAAGTCACACTTCAAAAAAAAAAAAGATTAAAATTACATTTTGTTTTGAATCACATGAAAGCAACAGAAATGGCAATCTGTTTTCCAAAATTTTAATTTCTTAATGTGCCAGAATAATGATGCCATACTGCACCCACTTAAGTAAGATTGTAAACATATAAGAAACTGCTAGTATCTCATTTTTTTCCCTCCGTATTTTAAACTCAATCGCACCCAAGTATGTATCACAAACTGTCAACTTGGCCGTTGACTCGTTCACATAATTTTGGTACAAAAAAAAAAAAAAAGAAGCAGAAAAAAAACTTGAATTAAAGTTTAAGATTCACTTTAATTTTATGGGGGCCTTGAAACTTTTTTGGAAAGACCCTTTTGAAAAAAAAAAGAAGATTAATTTCAATCTTTGGTAGGTACATCTGATGGAAATTCTATGATTGAGAAAAAATTGAAAACCTGTAAAAAAGCCAACTGTTGGAAAGAGAGCTCCAAAAATTCCAAATTACATTGCAAGCACTGAGATGGCAGCAAGTTTTTTCCTCTAGTTTTTCAAATACGTGAAAGTGTTGTTCTGATTCTTAGGCCCCCAACATCAAATATGTAATGATTATACAATATATGGTTAAACCTTGGCACTTGGTTTCTTTTCTTGAAGAGGGGGACACATGCATTTAGAACATACGTTTATCACAGCTAGAGGCAGGTAAGATAGGTGTGTTGATCTCTTCAACTTGAACATCATCTAGCTGCGCTTTATATCGAACCAGGATGTTTGAATTGCCTGAACTGGATCCTGCCCCTGGATCTGATTTCCTTTTCTTATCTGAAAAAAAAATACACACAAACACAATGAAGGCTCATAGTCAATTTTTTAGGAGCGATCAAAATGCAGAATGATCATGATGGAGATTCATAGTGTCAAAAATATCAATTGTGATGACCACAATCAAACAACTCCTGAAAAAGAAATATAAACATATTTTTGCTGGCTTGAATATTTCTGTGATTAAATCTTTGAGATGGGACTGAAAACTGGGGTTGCAGGCAGGGAGTGCATGATTAGTTTTGAAGAATTTACCAACTTTGCATTCAATTTTTCATTTTGAGGCTACCACCATTTTTAGCTATTTCACTATGCTTTTACATTTCGGCTATGGTTCACTGCTATGAGGGGTATGTTGGGCAACGTAACTTTGAACTTAGGTATCTCACTACGAAAATTTGTATGAGATTTCAAACAGTGCTTCCCTAAGAATAAATGACCAAAACGCTTTTCGACAAAAGTCCTGCACCACCTCCACAGTTCTAGCTCTCTTTTCAGGAAAGTCCGTTTAAAATTTTGAGGGTTCCCAAAAGTCGTTTTCTTTTACCTGCACTCATAGAGTTTCAAGTCCTTGTCTCAAGTTGTTCATAAGTTACTTACTAATGCCTGGTACTGGTGGTACAGGACTTATGGATCACCCTGTGGATGCACTGACTCCATTTTTTGCTGACTATTGCGAATTGAATTGCAGCCTAACAAAACATAGCAAAATGTGCTGATACCTCAACATTTTTACAATTTTTAGAGGATTCAATTTGAATAGGAAAGAACATTTCCACAGCAACCTAAAAATGCAGTCAAAAATTAGGAGCAAAGCTGCAACAATTTCAGAATTTTCCATAATGGTGACACCTCTTACTTCTGATCCTAAAAAATAACTGTGGGACTAAAATGCAGAGCTGGATATTGAACCATTGAACAGAGTGAGAATTTTAGCATCGAAATATATGCTATCTAATTTAAATTTCACTTTAAATAATGGGCGAATAAAATGTTTTCAAGTTGAAGTAAATAAAGAGAGATTAGAGTTTCCTGTCTTCTGTTATTCAAACTTGACGCTCACCAAGACCGAAGCCTGACGGACTCTATTATAAATTGCATTTGAAAATGTGTTCAACTGTGTCAGTGTACTCTACAATGGCACAGTTTTTTTCCGAGTGTTGAATTTTTCTTCACAAATTGAGGAGTAGCGCACATTAATAAAAGCAGGAAAATTCTTTCTAACGAAATAAATTCCAATTTGTTTGTTCAACTTGCTGTCATTTTCTATGGCAAACTTGGCCTTGTTGATTTTGGTGCTATTGGGAGCACGAAGTTCGAACTGATTATTTCTATTGTTAGTTACACCTTACTTTGAGGATTAGTTTGGGACATTTTCGATACATTTAACAAGTTTTGAGTGAAATTTCAATGAGATAACATGTCTTACAGTACTTGGCATCTTACTCTGTTCAGTGGTTCATTCTGTAAGAGAATCAACACATTAATCTTAGTTTAGAGGATGATGAAGATTAATGCTAACGAGTGAGACAAGTCAAAGGGGGCTACAGGGATTGGAGAAGAGGGACAAGAACCTACCTAAACCTTGAACACAGAGATTCTTGTTCTGGAGCATATCATATTCTAGAGTGCAAATAAAGAGACAAAAACGATTTGGAGTATTTACGAAGCATCAGACTCCCTTTACATCTTCACAAGTATCTGTTCTGGTCTTCTCACTTTTTCATTTTGTCAACTATGCACCTGCAATTTAATATGCAGACTCTTGTGTTATTTTCGGTTTCAGAACGAGAGGATAAGTTAATCTACAACAGTTGAGGAAAGAGTGTTGGGTTAATATTTTACAAAATTAGGAGCCACTTACAGCGAGAATAACGCTTGTTCTCCATGACTGCATGTAACTGCTGGAAGGTGTATCTCATTTACTGTATTTAAAAAACTGGTTTCTTTTATTTTATCACAAGAGATTAAATTAAGTCTTTTACTTTAAATTTTTATAAAATACTAGCTGTTCGGGGCGAGCTTTGCGCTAGCACAGCACAGCTAGGCAAGGGGTTTCCACCCTGCACCCCCGGTCACCTGCTTCTTAGCCTTTTCCCGGTCAAATCTTTTTAGAGTTTCATCGAGGTTTATATAGTAGATTCTTTGCACATAGAAAAATAAACCGAGGAAATTTTCAATAAATGACCTTGAGTAACTGAGGAGTTTGCATGTAGAAGGGCGTTTTGAGCTATACGCCCTGCAAATATTGGAGGACATATCATCAAATTTTTAAGATCATCCAATGATTCTGTGAGGCATTAGAGGCCAAAATATAAGACACCCTTCTTTGAGAAGAAATGTCCTTCTGCTGGCAATTAAAATTTTTACCTCCATAATTATTGCTCGAAAAATTTCAAACACTTTACAAGTACCGAGGATAAAAAGAGGAAGAGAGAAAAACGTGGTATACGTCAACATTTATGCTATTGCCTGTGATCTCTCTATGCATGTTGCAGCGAATGGCAGTTATTTGATAAAAAAATTAGCATTGCATGACTTCTCCTGACCATACCCTGCTGCAGCTGGTGTTGATATATTTGGGAAAATTTTAGGAATCAGTAACGATCAGACCACCAATGACACCACATAAACGTATCACTCTCATAAAATAACTTCAGAAAAAGTGACTCTTCCTTCAATTCTCCACTACATAAACGAGCTTGTAAGGTTTGCATAATTCACACGGATTCAAAGAAAAGAATGAGTGTGAGGGTAAGAAGATTACATGGAAATGCGTCTACTGGTGTGTCATCCGCAGAACAAGTGTCCGGTAAATGTGAGTTGCTACTCAGAGAGCTACTGGAGAAAAAGTCCAGAAACAGTCCCTGAAAAAATTTGAAAAAGCCTCAAACGAAGCCTTCTCAGATACCTTTAAAAGGAGCACCAGCGTTGGAAGAATCCTGGCTTGGACAATGCCATTCGAGGCTCAAGCTAAACTTGCTACTTTTCATTAAATGTGTATGATCTATCAAAAAAGACTTCAAATGCGTTTTCCTCAAAATAGGGTACCTCGAATAAATGCCTTTCAGCTTGCAAACTCTTAACTTCAACTAAAGGATTTAATCCATTGCTCACCAGATTCCTGCTTCTTGGATTCCATTTCAAAGCCAACATACTCTGCTGTCACCACTGAACCTGGGAGACAACAATAAAGAAGAACTTGAGAAAAAATAGAGACATTGAGAAAAGTGCAATTAAATACAACGCATTAGAAACAAATGCTTCTGTGGTTTCTTACATCAAACGATTGGTGTATGCTTCTAGAAGAGAAGATGACAACACTGGCTAATGCATTACTAACTTTCCACTGAAATAGCAATGCTGAAAGTTGAAAAGCCACCCGAGAATAACACATCAATTAACGGAGCTCAATTAAGTTTCTTCAAGGCCAGATTGAAACTGAAAATTTCTTATTGATGGTAAAATGTATATGAGAATAAATATGTGTTGTACGCACGGTTTGAGAATTATGTTAGCCTCTATTCGCGTGCTGCTGCTTTATCTCTTCAGAGGAAACTATAAGTAGCTTGACATGGGCTGAATCAGTTCGTTCTGCAGTTGACCACCTTACAATCCAACCAACTTGGTGGTTAGTTGTTATTAAGTCTTGATGTGACATTTTCTTTAAAAATTTTTTTTATTAATCAGCCATAGGATCATCATCTTGTTAAGAAGGAAAGAGGGCGGTTTTGAAAGAGAGCATACAAAATTACATCAACAAATCAATTGGTCAGGTTAAAATTCACCAATAATGCAAAACAGGCAAATTCAAAAACACAGAAATTTAACAAGTGCCTGAAACACTAGAAAACTACTGGAAAACTACAGGTGCAAGGGACATAAAGTATCTTCTTTTTCTAGACCTGGCAGATCCCATCGAGTGAATATCACAGTGTAAGCTGCTAAGACTCATACAAAGACTTGGTGGCAATTAAGTAGCTGACAGCAGTCACGAGTACAGGAAGCTTCGAACGCTTTTGAGTTTTTTCGTCTTTCCTTTGAGTGCCTTAGGTAGCACCAATTTAAACCATTCAGCTTAGTGCAAAAAGTTAAGATTCAGGCGAAAATGTTCATTTGCAAAAGGAAAAATCCTTTGAAAAAATAAAAGTAAGGGAGTTTGTGAAAAATCATACACTGACACCTTCGGGTTGCAGTCAATCAGAAGATAAAGCAGATAGTTTTGGGTGTCAACAAGTACATAAAATGGCCTGCATTTATGCAGCACCTCTTGGGTTTCTAGTTCTTGAGAATTTCCATACTGTCACTGGAGTCCTGACGAATTTCAGGGATAATTTAAGCATTTACTTTGAGGTAAGTAGGTGCGCTTATGAGCCTGTGCCATTCTTAAAGGTAAAAATTCAGTCCGTTGAGAGATCTGTAAGATGTTGTGCAACTGTCCATCAAGAGGAAAATAAGTGAGTTGTGACTTTGGCACGATTATATCTTAAATTTAAACTTACTTACAAGGAGTGAAATATAAAATAGTGAAGTGGGGACAGTTACCTGAAAATACATGCACAAAAGAAATTCAGGGGAGAGGCCGAATTGAGTTAGATGACATACGAGAGATTTTGGAGATGGGTTGAAGCAAAAGATAAAGCGTTGTGCAAATCCAAAGGTTTAACAAGGTCCGAAAAGTTGTCAAAATAAGAGTTGAACTTCAGACTATACGAGAATTTAATGAAATCACAGATAAAGAAATTCACTCAGTCAGTCAGTGCTGATACGACGATGTTTTTCATAGGTTAAAATTGACTTATGACGTCACTCACAGGTCGATGTATCGAATTAGATCAAAACAAAGTACCTGATTGGCTCATTTAATTTTGCTGTTTGTTTATTGGTTCAGGAGCAACTGGCGGGTAGAGGAGCCACTTTTGAATAGAGCGACCTAAGTTGTTAGCGTTCCAGCTTACACACGGGCAAACCAAGCAGTCATTCGGAGCGCAAGATTTTCAATTTCGCGGAAATAAGAAAGGAGGTAATAAGAAATTCACAAAATTATGAGGTGAAAATTCAGTTGGTCAGAGTCCATTTTAGAGAAAAGAAAATCCAGCAGCGCAAAAAGCAAGCGTTGGTGCTCTCTTTTGAGTTAGGAAAGGAAAATAGGTACCTGAAGTAATGCCAATTCATTCAGAATTGCAACAAGTTGCCTGATCGGGTGCATTATTTTACATCTTCCATGAGAGTATGCTTCAATTCCTGAAAGATTCAAACAAGCAAGCTAACTGATATAAATACCGGGAATTCCAAAGCTCAATTCCTTGAAGTTCCTGAAGTCATTGCAAGTTCATGCAGTGATGTTAAGATAGGACCCACAATACAGGGAATCATGAAGAAGTATATTCTTCAGTATATTCTCAAATGAAAAATAGATGGATACCTACAAATAAATGTAAAAAGAAAGTTTAAGATTCTCCATTAGTTTGTGAGGGTCAAGTATTGGTAGAAAAAGTTCTTTGAAAAAATCAAATTGAAGTTTTGAACCTTTGAAGTTTGCAATGCTGTAACCACTTCATACTTTAACCCTAGAGACTTGAAAACTGTTCTGAATTTACCATGTGGTTTTGATGAGCCTGATGATCAGCCTATAGAATTTTTTTTTTTTTTTTTGGTCNTTTGCCCCTCTTCTTTTTTTTTTTAAAAAAAAAAAAAAAAAACCCAAAAAAACTGGGGTTCCAAGTTGCTTGTCTGAGATCTGTAACTTGGAACTTGTACTTCTTTTTCATAATAATTTCAAATTAAAATTAGGGAGCCTTGCTTGGAACACTATTTTAGGTTTTAAAAAAATGGAATAAAAAAGTTGAAGAAAAGAAGAAAATAAAAATGAGTTGGCTGATGAAAAAATGAGGTATGACCTAAGTTTGCGATGTCGCAGACTTAGATGCGTCATCCCCAAATTTAGTTATTGATTATTCAATCTGCTAATGATTTTTACCGGATGATCTTGAAAAAAGATCATATATTCTTTTTCTTTCGATAGGTATTGATCCCTGACTGAACTAGGAAAATGAACTGGAGGAAACGCAATAAAAGAGAAAGAGTATTCATTGAAAGATAAACAATTTTTTACTCTGAAATATTAGATTAGGGCGGTTAATAAAATGAAATGAGCTTAAAATTAATTACAAAAGATTGGCATGATAAAAATATACAAAATAAAAATGCTTTCAATGCTTCGGTGTTAAGAAAATTAGATACATTAAGGAGGCCGTGTGATTAGTTTGAGGCCGACTCGACAGCAGGGGGTGCTGCATTTGAGCCCAAGGCCATTAAATGCATGTAGACCATTTGCTCTTTGTTGATTAAATGCGTTGTGTGGTTGACCAGCTTCATGAGTGAGTTGATATGACTGGCCCAGTCGTTCAAGATGTCTGTTGGATCTTTCATTGATGCAAAATTAACAATTCCAGCCGGCCGGTCTGTTTTGGCGGACACAGTTTTGTTGGTCACCATGTTGCTCAGGAACTCCTCTGTTTCCTACAAAATATTAAAATGTTTATTATTATGATCACTGAATAAAAATTGCAGCTAAAACTGTCACAGAGGATGAGAAATCTCTTTGAGTTTTCTCATAAAACTGCTTTCATACACTCACTTGCTGAGCACCTCCATTGGGCAGTTCTAGCAAAAGGGAGCTGACTGTTCTGAAAAACGGAGACTTGGCACATGAGTAGTTACCAGAACTCACCATCAGTAACACTCGGGCATTATTCCAGGCACTACCACATACTAAATAACGAAAACTTCTTGGAAATCTCAGAGAGAATTTAAAATATTCCCCTATGCAATTGTTCAATAAACTGCTTTTTATGCTAAACACATTTTTCAGAAACACTGATTTTGTATAATTTTTGATAGGTTTCAAAAGTGTTTCACAAGTGTTAGTATTTTATTTTATTAATGATTTTTTAAAATGGCTGATTGCAATTGTGAATCTTCTAACATGAAATTATAAATAACTTTTTTTCTAGTTTTCTACTGAATTCAAACTTTTCTATGAATTTTCAGCTCAGTGTCATGACTTGTGTATTGGCTGATCTGTATCAAAGAATAAAATACAATAAAATAAGAGATTAGATAAATTAAAATTCCCTTGGTCCCTGTTCATTAATTAAGTTTTATTCTTGCGGATCACAAAGGAATGAACCTATCACTGCGTCTTGTCAGTGATTTGCTTTAATATGCAGCTCATTTTCCAGCTGACAGGGAGGAACTAATTGATGAAACATAGAAGTAAAATATTCACTTTATGACAACATAAATTTCCTCTTGACCAACTGAGCAAAAAAGTCCTTAAAATCATTCGAATTGATATGCTGACACTAAGGCTGACTAGGAGGCTGTTTATAAATTATGTAACTCTAAGTTTCGGATTTTTTTACCACTTTCCCCTTCATGACGCTTCTGTGATATATGCCTGTATCTCATAACACAAACAAAGAAAATAGCGTAACAGTCTCTCACCTTCTTCTCCCTGCCTAGAGTGTAATTTACATATTATATGAATGGCCCCTGAGAGGATTCTTCAGGAAAATAAATATGACATTCTGCCAACAATTCTAATCAAGTGAACCTTTTGTTCTTTCCTGAAAGCTGGTTCCTTTACATTGAGCACCATTCATTTGATTTTCCATTGGTTTTGTGCCACTAAATAGCGATTTTGGACCAACCTTTTCATGGTGATCGTTGAAAATTGTGCACAAACAAATTAAAGTCCTTACCTCGATAGAGAGATCCAGAAGCTCTGACATTCTTTTCAACGTAATTCTTGTGTAGTATTTTGCCATAATTCTTATGTTCTAAAAAGGGAACAGGATAAGAACATTATGTTTTGGCGATTAAGAATTAAAGACATTCGAAAGTAATGATCAATCTCAATTGTGAAGTAAATAACCTAACATGCTCATTTATTTATTGCCAAGTGTGAGAAATTCTACACTTTGAAACCTGCTTCGGCATCATTTACAACTTTTGAATCATTCACAATGGGAAGGTTATCAGAGATTAACTACTGAAAATGTCAAAGATGGCTCAAACAGAAGAAAAATAAATTGAATTGATAGAATTAAAAAGGCGAATTGATTCTAAGAGAGAATGTACACAACCATTCTTCTTTCTCAAGACCTTTACAATTTTACTTACTTTAATTGGATTCTGAAAGATAGTTTACATTTGCTTTTACACTTTACCTCTTTATCAAAATACTATGACCTGACAAGTTCCTTGGTCATGAATGGCAGACTTGTACGGTTTTAACAATAAAAACTGAAATCCAATTTTTTCGGTCTTCTACTTTTCATTTTGCTTTTACAAAATATGAGGTACCACAAAAAGTGAGACTGGGACTTACATGTTCTGCTACACGAATTTTAAGGTCCTTCCAACGCTTTTGACCCTCTTCACTCGAATCAAAGACCGAGGTCGGTTTGGATTTAGCCGATCCATTCTTCAGCTCTTTTTCGTATTTTTCACAAAGGCTTGACCACTGTATCACTTCTGCTGTCATAAATAATCTCAGTAATTCTCTGTCAAACAGAAGAACAAGGCGGAGTTACATACTGCCATTGACGAATTCAGACACAGCTTCATCAGTTTTGTAAGTTTATACAACACTTCTGGAATTGAGGGAATTTTGTTTTCAAGGCTAAGCACATCAGTTAAGAATGAAGTTGAATGTTTCGTATAGTAAAAAAATCTCTTTTCCCTTTGTTCTTAATTGAATTAGTGAGTTCGAAAACACACCAACTCAGGTTTTTTTCGATTTTCACTTTTTTACGGTTTAGTAACACTTACGGATAGAAGCATCTGAACGCAAAAGGAAATTTCGAAATTGCGATCAGAAGTGCTCAAAATAGCGACGGGGAAAGGGCAAAATCGAAGTATTTCATTGAAAATACCAATTTTTGGCCATTTCAAGGGAAACGGGTGACCATCCAATTTTGCGGTTTTCTTTTTTTGGTTCAGTATACCTTGTACCAACAAGTTATATAAATATTCAAGAGTTATTCAGGTCGAAAAATATAAATTTTTCAGGGCAAACTATGAAAAATCAGTATCTGAAAGTCGGTGAGAATGAAAACACACCAACTCGGAGATTTTCGAACGCTTAATTCTCTGTCATCAAACATGGTGTATCCCTTTCAACTTGGTGCTTTACAAAGTCTTTAAGTACTTGTCCTTTGGCACCAAAAAGGTTTTTCTTAGACTGACTTCTTCGCCCGCTGTGCAGTTTTAGGTGTTTCCTGAACAATTTGGTTTTTTCCGAGTTGGTGTGTTTTCGAACTCACTGATTCAATTATCAGCCTGCTGGAATTTACCCAAATATTGAAATAATACATTAAGCCTAAGTGCTGCAATGATTTAACCTTTACTCTAGGAGTGAGAAGAATCATAGAGTGTAGAATTAATGGTCACTTTAGAGAATGCATCTAAAACTCAGGAAAACTTCTTCTTGTTTGCCTTTTTTCAACAATGTGCATAGTTCTAAGTCTGCAAGAAAATTTACGATGCAACAGCAGAATGGGGGGNGGGGGGGGGGGGGGGCACAAGCAAATAAAACATTGAAAAGAGCTCATCATTAGACCTATTACACACAACATTCCAGATACTAAAAATTAATTTAAAAAGTTGACAACAATAAGTGGGGTAAGTGTGAATGAAAAAATCGATTCCATGCTGAATTACTTTGCTGGATTCAATCATAATGACTCACTTGTGTAATGGAATTTGATCCAAAATCTTTTCTTCCATGACACGATGGGTGAGATCAGCTTGTTCATTGCTGTACGGCGCTAGGATGAGATAAAGAACAACGTTTTGAAGGGTTGCTTGACTTTCTTCTGCATTGTCTTGGATGCATTTTGTATTTAAAATAGCACGGTAATGTTTGCACGTGTTTAAATATGAGCCTTCATGCCTCTCCAACTGAATCATGATTCTAGAAAAAACAGAATGAAAAACAAGAGAAGTCAGCAAGGTCAACTTTTAAGATTGATGAATGTGACAGTTTATTAATTCTTCTGAAAAATAAAAATGAAACAATTCTTCAGTTCGCAATGAGTCTGGTAAGCTATTCTTACAGCAGTATTAGGTTAACTGAGCTTAGGCATAGTATTTTACCAATATCCTAGTTGCCGGAACTGTAATTATCATATGGAGAACTGGCCTAAGTTGAATATGCAGAGCCTTTTATTTTGAACTGAGTTGATACGCCAAATGCTGCGCGTCCATCATATTTCCTGGCTGGCACAAGACAAGGAATAAGGAGCTCACTCCCCTGATCACCTAAATTTTCCCCTTTAATACAGTGTGTAAAACTACCCCAAAACACACTTTTCAGGCCCCATTTTTTTGAGATTGACACATAGAAAGTTTCCTTTTAAAAACATTTTACTCAGGAGATTGCCGGGAACATCATATCAAAAAATCTCTAAATTTAGCCTGTGCCAAATATTCTGCTACAATGTTTGTAGTCCTCTGCGTTTTATATAATGAAAATTGTTCACACTGCAATTTTCCTCAGCAAAGCAGTTGGGCAAATCATTCCCAATTCCATTGAAATCTTCTTCCTAGATTTGGTGTTGTGTCTTGAGTGAATCAATTTATTGCAGACACTGTTCTAAACTAAGGCACTATCCCGAAGGTTTGAAAGTAGAGACATCATCAATAATTCTCAAAGAGATTGTTAACATTAAGAGAACCTTGTGTTAGACACACACACACGAAAAAGAAATTCTAAGTCCAGATGTGTTTATCTATGCAGATAGACATATTTGAGTAATTAAAGTTTTAAACACAAGTCACTTCTTAAACATACAGAGCCAGAGGGCAAATGTCTTCCGGCCATACATCATTCAAAACAAAAAATGGGAGAAAAAAATGAGACTTCATTTTGGTCGGATGATTATTAAAAAGAAAACATTATTTTCATTTTAATTTAATCAGGAAAGGAAATTTAGTTCTTCCAAAATAGTTTTAGAGGGGTGCAAAGTTGCAAAAGCAGACTGAATACTTGACTGGATTCTAACTTTAGCGAGAGATATACTAATGGCAAGTCTTGGGGCTGGATCTTTTTCAACAATGATCCAAATGTTTTCTCCAAAAGTGATTTTTGTAATTTTAAATCTTTAGATGCATCCACAGCCATGCCAATTTTTAGAGCTCAGCTTTACAGCAGGCCACAGATTTTGAAACGTTTGATCATTGCAATGAGCTATTTCTGGACTATCATTCAAACTAAAAGTTACTCTTACTGTCCTAGAGACTGTTGTCTTAGCCAGAAAACGAGTTTGTTTAGTAATGTTTAATTCCTGCATTTCTGAAAACTAGAGAGTGCTCAGAGATAACAGGAATTTTTCCAGATTTTTTAAATGCTATTAACCCATGAAAAAAACCTTGAAGTTGCGTATTTTGAGCTCCTTTATAAAGAAATATCCACAGGTCACTAATAATGGCTGCTGCGAGCGCCTGTCAGAGAATAACCACACTCGTTGAGTTACCCACTGCAGCGTCCTATGGTCTGCACGCGATGACCCATAGTCCATAAGCAAGCTATGAGACGCTTCGGAGTCAACGATTGTGGCCATTCTTTAATGGGCGGCGGCCATTTTTAGTTACCCACCAACGAGCATTAAAATGGGAGCTCAAAATACGCAACTTTGAGCTCGTTTTTCATGTGTTAATATTGTTCGAAAAAATCTGGAAAAATTCCTGTGGACTCTGTGCACTCTCTAGTTTTCAGAAATGCAGGAACCGAACATTACTAAACAATTTCATTGTCTCTTATTGGCATTGTTTTTCATGCCAGAATTATTTTCCACTTGAACCCACAGCAAACAATCTTTCAAAAAAGTCTTGACCTTGGACCCCTACATTTCACCCTTGAAAATATTCTGGCTATGCCTCAGCTTTGATCTAAAATAAATATATCAATTAAAAAACTTGAAACAGATTTGACTCACCTGTAATACTTTAGTTTAAGCTCTGAGGTTGATTCATCTTCGAAAAATTTAGTGTTTATTTTCTTGGAAATGATTTGTGTGCGAATGTAGTCTCTTTTGGCTAAGCATAGCCTCATTTGCTCCAAAATTAATTCAACCTGCATTAGAAACCGCAAATTAGGATACTTACTTACATAATTACAGTGCATGAAATACATAAATAAATAAATATATTCATTCTATAAAAGCAAATTAGAAACAGCGTCGCCAACAATATACTGAGCAATATTTTAGGGGGATGTGCCAAATGAGTTTGGATTGGAACAGACCCTTGAGCATCTCATCGCGATGCAACAGAATTAAATAGATCAGGAGATTTTTCTTTAGGCAAACTTTAATAGGCTCTTGCATATAAATGAATTGGGGTGTAACTATGCTGACCCTAATTTTAACATAAGAATCTCCCTAAAACCTTTAAATTTTTTCACCTATGTTATTCAATTTATTCAGTTTGCATATTTTCTCTGTCCCCTTTAATCAATTCAAATAATAGCAACCAGAAAGACAACAGTCGGCCATTTTTGCTCCGATTCTTGAAGTCCCCGCGACCCCCGCTCAGCCTACCTTGCAAGGAAAAAGAGCGAAGTCCGGCCGCTCTTACCCTACGTCTCTCTGCCGTTTCAAATTTTGCAGGGAAAAAAGAGCAAAATGCGCTTCGAAAAAGTGACTATACGCAATCTTACGGGAGGATCTGCCAGTTACCTTTCTGGTAGCTATTATTCTATGCTTTAATTTTTATCTTCCTCTGGCCTAAAGCTATTATCGATCAGTAACTTCAGACTGGCGATAATATTTTTACTCTGATATTTTAAATAGGTATTGTTAAAGCATGAAACATATCATTTTAAACCCATTCATGTTAAGTCAATAGCAACTTAGCGCCAACGATCAGCTCTGCAAGCTTGAAAAGCATTTATCAGGTTAGGCTGGAGGTACCTTCTAGATTGATTTAATGAATAGTGATAAATTAATGACCTTTTCTTTCTTTTCCATGGACCCATATGTTTCCACTTGGAGTTCTTGGATAATTGTAGCTGCTCCCTGTATGTCACCATCATCCTCTTTCATTTTTGCCAAGATATGTGTTAGCCTTGCCCGCTCAACTTCTACATAGATCTAAAATCAAACAAAAGGTAGAATTAGAAATGCAAGAGGCAACATATTCTCAGTTTTTTCACTACAGTATATGCAGAGTATTTTCAGCCTCGCTATAATGTAGATGTATTAAATGGACCGCGTTAAACAGAAAGGAACCAAGCCACATCAGCTATTACCAAATTTAATCGGGCAATTTAATTTTATACATGAAAACGGTTGTGCGGATTTTTGTGCAAATTTCAGTGGCTTTTCTCCATAGTACAAAGCAAGTTCCTTAAAATTTTCAAAGTAATCCACACAAACGTTCTCTCGTAAAAAATTAAATTGTCCTGTTAAATTTGGCAATAGCCAATGTGGCTTGGTTCCTTTATGTTAAATGCGGTCCAAATCTGAGTCAAAAAGTTACGAGAAAATATAAAATTTACCTTTCCTTCTGTGACGGAACGGAGCGTGTCGATAAGTTTCGTCTTGATTTCCTTTGATGGGGTCTTATCGACATACTTGCAACACTCTTGCACCATCTTGGTGACAGCTTCTTTGATCTGACTTCTTCGCTTTGACAGCAAAATTATGTGTTCGTTGAGAGCATTCCAATTCTTAGCATTGTAACAGATCTCAACTACTGTAACAAGAACGCGCGATGTTGATGTCAGGTCAACATTAGTTCGTGTTTGTTTCTCCAGGGATAAAAGTGACTCTAGAGCCTCATACAAATTTCCTTCAGCTGCTGTTTTCTTTGCTGCCTCTAACTTTTCATCGAATGAGCTTATGTAGTCCACCTCCATCTTGACAACTTTGTCCTCTGCTGTTCCATTGACTTTGGCTGCCATCTTTCAGAGCCTGATGCAAAGAGAAAAGTATTGAATCGTGTGATTTTTTATTACCACTGTAAGTCTTCATTTTAAAAGAAGAAAAAAGGTAAAATTACAAATATTTGTAGAGGAGATTCCTGAGCCCGAGAAGAGAGCTGTTGAACTGAAAGTCTTCTGATAAATTTTAAAGTCCATTTGTGGAGGGCGCAACTTGACTTTCGGTTTTTTTAAGTGTAGGTAATCAATTAACAAATTTTGATTCAACAAACGTTAAAATTAATACAAGCAAAGTTTGGAGTAATTTTATGAAGGATTCAATTCTTGTGTTACGATAAATTACTTGCTCGTTTTATTAGAGCTAAATGTAGAATGACTTTCAACATGTATCACACAAATTGAATGCTGAGCTTCATTGGATCATAAATATAGAACTCTGCTTCTGCAGTAACCATCCCTCTATGGAACAAAGTATAGTTTTTCTACACATGCGGTTGTATTCTGGTTAAAACGCTGCCATTCAATTAAGAAACTGTGACCTCTCAAAAATGCGATTGCCTAAGTTAAAAACATGTCTACTTTGATCAAAAGATATATTCTCTACTATTGAGAAACACACCTGCCTAATTTTACCCAATTGGATGCGATTCGTAAATTAAATGCCTACCCATTATCTTTATTAAAGCCCATTTTCAGACTCTCTCATCACCTATTTTTCATTCAGTAGATCATCATCTTCCACCTAATTCTTCTGGATTGAATTGCCATATTTCCGAGCCGCCCTCCCAGCGGCACCTTACCTTCGATATTCTCTTCAAACATTTTGTGGCACCCTAGGCTGCAGCCTCAATACATAGCCTGTGTATAAATCTCACCACGATCTGCGGTCAGTAAATATATATTTTAAACAAGTTGCAGTATCATCATTGGTGCTGATGAGTGTGTAAGTGGTTGTAATATTCAGGGTGTCTAGCAATTTTCAAATAGGAAATTCGCTGGCATTTCCCTGATTTCCCTGACAATAACGGCCAAAAAACCAGAAAGAAATTCAAAATTCCATGTAAGACAGAAAACATAATTCCCTGACAAAAAAGAAAAAATTCCTAATTTTTTGACACGTTGGAATCGATTAGATGTGAGTAAGAATTTTTTTCATGTTTAAGGAATATAATGTAATAAATAGAGCAAAAAATATGATGCCTAAATACATGCAAGATATTATTGCCTCATTTTTAAAGCTTAAAAGACATCAGCAGAAATTCGGGTAGAAAGACTTAAGTTCACGAAACATTCTCTGGAGAATTTGTGTTTATCGATTTCCCTGAAACGAAAATCGCTTACAAAGTAAAATTCCCTGACATGCCGAATTTTCGCAGATTCCCTGACACCCAAAAATATTCCCTGACATTTCACAGATCTCCCAGTCGCTAGACACCCTGAATATTGATAAGGATTTGAGGGGATGGATACTGGAACTAAGTGATATTCCGATTAAGAGTCGCCAGTTTGCCTGAAAACACAGCTCCACTAATGGAAGTAGGTTTGTGTATCACCACTTTCAACATTAGATAAATTACTGAGAAAATTTTCATTTTATATACATGAAACGGAAGAAATGCTGATTCAAACAGCTTCAGAGCTTGGTGCACTTCATTAACTCCAGATAACTAATACTGGGACTGAAATGGGAGAATATGACAGGTGGAGGATGTAGCTCCCTTCTACCGCAAGTAAATACACTGACTTTAGGGCAGTGTTCCAGGGTGCTCCTTGTGCGAGATCCGTACGCTCTACCGCTCTCTGTGCTGCTATCGGCTGAGCATCATTCTGTGAAGTCACGCGAGCGGATATTTTAAGACAGGGAAGCGTTTTCCCATAAGGTTTTGGTCCGTACCCGGTCCGTGTCAGTATAGGGAATGTCCGCGCGGTACGGATAAATCCGTACGCTTGGGATCGCTGCTTTAGGGGTACAACAGAACTTGGACTCCACTAGGTAGAGGGGCAAGAATCTGAACTGCTAAGGTTAAATTTGTCGAAGAATTGTACTCTTTACGGTAGTGCAGTGATTCAAAGATTATAGGTGTTTATGATATGTGCCAAGTTCCTAGATATTCTTGTCAAGGATCTGATGGCAAGAGCACACTTCCTTGAAGGTTGGGGATGTTTATCCCAACAAAGTTATGTCAAATGTTGCACAAAGCGCATGAAAACCAACAAAACTAGAATATAGAAAATTTCTGTGCGACCGGGCTGATCGAGCTAGGCAGAAAATCAAAAGATTGCTGCGAATAATTTACCTGTTTGACAAGGCCAAAAAGTAGGAGTTGAAGAAAAAGCCACTAATTCAAAAAGATTAAGCAAATTGGTGAACCTCTTTCCAAGACAAGAGATACTGAAAGTATTCGTTTGTAGCACAATGCCTAGTAACTTAACTTATCAATCCCTAACCTAACAATGAAGGAGGCAGAACTTTGCATGACTCAGCTTTCAGAAGGAAAGTGTGTTTTATGTTCAACACTATTCCCTGCTGGTTGAATGTTGTCATATTTGATGACGTTCTAGGTTACACGTGATTGGGCAGAAATCAAGTTTAGTGCTGTATGACCAGGGTGGCAAAATTTCATGAAAAATAAAATCTTGAAATTTCACGTGAAATATTTCATGAAATTTCAGAAATTTATGAAATATATTGAAAAATACAAGTTCCTTTTATGTTTCGAAGGTTGTAAAAATCGTAATTTTCTTCTATTTTTGGGTGTTTGAGTGCGGGTTGCATACTTTGGCCCCTGAAAAATATGAAATATTTCACAGCCTCGTGAAATTTCATGAAATATTTCACTGAAATTTCCAATCTTTCATTTCTTTCTTACGTTTCATGCCACCCTGTGTATGACGTCAATATACATCAACAAACATTCATCGTCGATAACAACGTTGACCTTACAATGCTTGCCTAATTCCCGCCGGCGAAAAGAAACCTTTTACCTTATCAATTATCTTATCTAATTATCTATCATCAACGTAAACAAAACAAGAAATGAACAGTGGAGGTGGACTTATTTAATTGTTTTTCATCACCCAGATTGTGTGCTCGTTCCATTTTACTACCAAAAATTTACATCTTCTCATGATTAATTTACCTGTTGCATCTAGCTCCAAGAAATTTCGTATGTATGTATGTGTGATCCTCAGTTATTAAGATTCGAAATACACTGCACATTTTGCGAGACCATTCTCCTATTCCTGAATACCTTGTCCAGTTTTGGCAGTATTTTAAATGATATCTCATTCCACGTGCCAGGCCATGTGAAAGAGCCGAATGTCTCTTTTTAATAGAAAAACGGAGCGGAAGCGGCAAAGGTCTCCGTCAGGGCCATCGTCGCCCAACGTTTGCTCTAAGCGCACGTGTCTTAATACTTTTGGATATGGGTCACTACTTAAGTCCTGTGATAATCAATGCTGTGAATTTATGCTATGGCAGTCTCTTAGGAGTCCATCCTCCACTAAAAATTCTGGTGAACTCAGATTGAGAAATGGGTGCTCAGGATCAGATCTAGAGGGCAAAAGCTGTAAAGAAATCATCAGACTCCTCATCGATAAAAATAAAATTCTAAAGACACCAGAGGGTAAGGTTTTACATCTCTTAAAGAATCTCAACCAAAATTCACTGGGTGTGCAGAAGGATTCTACTTCTAACTCAAATGGAAGGAATGATTTTTATTTCACCCCAAGAAGAAATATTCAGATCAACGAACAAAACGTTTGTCTCAAATCTTTCATCACCAGCTCGCAAGACACTTTCCTAACTGCTTTGACGGCGGACTCGAGCAATGACGCTTCAGTGGAAAGCGATAGCCTTTCTGAGTCTCTCCCTGGTTCTAATTCACCGGAAGATGAGACCACAGAAGAAACAGAAGTGGACGTTAATTTTTGCAGAAATAAGGCAACATTTTTTATGACAATTACGAAAACTGGCCCCACAAGTGCAGGTAAAGGTGTCATCAAAACCAGGGTTCAGTCCAACTCCGAAGAAGAGACAGATTCTGATACCTCCATAAACTTAAACAACTCTGAGCTGCCTGTGGCCAGAAGATGTATTGCAGTTTCAAAATTTTACTTAGGATGTGTGTAAGTATGATTCTTTGGTTTTTTTTTTATATAAGTAAGAGATTTTATTATCAGGTGACACTTCAGGGATGTAGAAAGTTTATTGCTTTCACCTACTTGAATCAAATTAGCTTTCACAAAAATACCTGTTTAGTGGGAAAACTCAGTGCGTCGGATAGACCCTGTTTTAAAAAAAAGTAGTGTGCGTTACATTTTTCTTCACAGAAAAGCACCCAACGTGCTCGGCTAGTTTCTACACTCAAACCTACTTTCTTGTCCGTCTGTTCCTTTAAGATTGATGCTGCTCCTTACTTTCAGAGAACTGAAAAGATAATTTATAAAATAATTTGAAAAACAAAGGGAGAAATTTGACTGCTTTTATTAAAAGTTTCTCATCCTTGACTAAGTACTTTCACTAAAAAGTGCATGAGTGTCCTCCAGCATTTCCTCGACTCCTGTGACACTGAAGATTTGCGGATTATCAAGGCATTTTAATTTTTATGGACTCAAAAGCGGGAGCAATTACTGAAGTAAGTGCCTCAATTGTTCCCGTCCTTGTCAAACTAATTCTTCCTCTTTATTGTTTTGCAGATCTCGGGAATCAGCTCTATTAAATTTAAGAAGTTCTGTTCGATCAAAAGCGGACACAGAAACTTCTGCACCTAGTGCTGCCTCCTTAGAATCTTTGCCAGGATCTTTCTCCAAGCAGGAATCAGCTCTATTAAATTTAAGAAGTTCTGTTCGATCAAAAGAGGACACAGAAACTTCTGCACCAAGTGCTGCCTCCTTAGAATCTTTGCCAGGATCTCTCTCCAAGCAATGTGAAATCCCATTTTTAACCATCAAACAAGGAAGATCAGAAACCCACCCAAGCAGTCTCGGAACAGTTACCAAATTATTTGCCTGTGATTTTTATAGATTGCAAAAGACCCCCAGAAAGAACTACTTTGATTTTCATGGTAAAATAGTTCATAAAGTGGATATATTTGGAACTATTACAAAGATTCTACCATTGCAAGAAAGTAGAATTGTCTACCACAGTGAGTAATCAATCAATTTTGTTTCCTCACCTCCCCTACTTTTATGTAGTTTAATCTGGTTTCTTTACTCTATAATTTATAAGACACCCCGCTGTACTTATACTAAGTGCATCGTGGTCTTTTGAATTGCATAGGCACAAGTGGTCTTAGGTTACAGTTTAACTTCCGACAAGCGTTTGGAATTGTACATAAATACTCTGAGAAAGATGGGAGGGGAACAGAGCAAAATTACTAGAAAATAGGTAAATCATGTGTAGAGGCATCTTCATTGTTTCTAAAACCCAGGAGCACTTTGGTTGTAATAATTTTACTTATTTTTTTAAAATAATTTCAGAGTGGGGAGATTTTCCCAGCTAGCCACATCCTGAAGGAAAATTTTTAGGTTTAACACTGTTAGGACTCCTGAGGAATGTTCCTAATTGTTTCAAGATCTTAAAGAGACTACAGAAAATTCTCAGTCAAATCGTACTTGTCAGTACAGTACGTCATTTTGAAATTCCCATTTGTCCTCTTTGTCTATCAATTTCAATAATCAGCCCGCAGGTGCTTAAAGGGAGTAAGTGCCATCTACTTTTGAGAGGTAAACTAGACTATTTCTTCCAAATAAATACAGAAGTAAGTAAATAATACAAAATTAATATATTTTGTGTTTCCCTGTGATCAATATAAATACAATCATATTTTTCCAATAAAAGAACTTTACTTAACTTACTTCAAAGTTCAGGGTAACCACTTCAGTGAGTCTCTGTTGTTAAAAGTGGTCAAAGTTTTGCCCACCTCATATCTTCATTATTTAATACCTCAGATCTTGACTGTTGATTATTTTTCACTGTTCAGTCGATGACGGAACTGCTTCCATATCCTGTATAATTGATCGTACCGAGAATCTGGCAAAGAAAAGAGAATGCACGGCCAAGTTGGATCTCAGCAATGCTCCAGAACCACTTCCGAAACAGCAATCCTGCCATGCGAATAAATCAAAGTCTAGGCTACTAAGTGCTGTTACTGGTGTAAGTTATAATCCTTTCTTAAATTCTCAGGCTGCCAGCTATTAAGTGGTCAAAAGTTATCCGATTTTTTCAAATCCTATAGGTAATGAACATAAAAGAATACAACCGAGGTAGCTGTACCATTTACCATAGAGAAAATACGGAGGATGGGGCAAGCTGATAAATATCAGTGATCACAGGCCTGATGAGGGTCCAGTGAGGCAGTGTTTTTGACGTGCTGTATCCTCATTTTTATTGACTGATATGCCAATGTACATTCTCTAGTTTGAGTCGGAAATCTCTCTCCATTCCTTTTAATCATCATGCCCTTCAAGTACTTTATATCTTCGAACCATCTCAACTTGAAGCTGAGGATCCCTTTATTTTCATGAAATACTGTTAACTTTCATGTAAAAGAAATGATACAACAAGTTGACAGGGAATGAGGTTACCAATTATTTGTATCAATGTTTTCTTTTTTTTTTCCAGATGAGATCAGTTCTTCAAGGAAATTTGAAATCAGAAGTGGACATAAATAATTTGAAACTTGGTGATACTGTCCATGGAGTTGGGGTACTTTATGATCATGGAGCAGAAAAAAACATGTACCTGAATAAAATATGTATCCTTTTATTGTCTCTCCCATTGAAAAAAATATCACTAAAGTCTTTATTCTACTAGTAATAGGATTTTAGTTATAAAAATTGTTTTCATTCTGTGCTCATGATTTTTTTGACTAGGAATAGTAAACATTTTAAAGATTATCAAGCAAACTCGAGTACATACAAAATTGTGTTGTGTTAAAAATTCACCAATTAGTAACCAACAAAATTTACAATCATTTTGACTGCGGAAAAATTGAGAAAAAAATCAATGCGTCATGGAAACTTTGCGCATTACCCAATACCCATGGGAAAAACAACACAGCACAAAACACGCATTATGCACTTTAATTGAAGAGTGTCTGGTCATTGTTTAAAATCCTTTATGTATTAATATTGGACTATTATGAGCACCTATCTTCATAGGGAAATTATAAAGTTTGCAAATGTTGTCTATAACATGAGCCAGAAATCGTCGTTCCTTATCGCAAAATAGAGTCCATTCTAAAACAGTAGAATACTGTTTAAAGAGAGGTCAGTATGAATTACAAAGAAGAATCAAAAGAAGAGTTCAGAAAAATCAAGAAGGAGAAAAAATCAACAATCAGATGTCATGTACTGCTGACTTAACTATTTTAATAGTGCATCTCCAATGAAGGATTGGAGCCTTTTTTTTGTAATAAGGCGCAAGTGCAGTGCATTTCAAATGGAACCTCGCTAGTTTTACAAGATATGGTTCAAGGTTTTTTTTAGTAATTAAGAATTAAATTAATTAATTAAAGAAATCAAGAAGAATTTGACTATAGTACTCCTTAACTCACCAATTATCGTAACAGGGCAAGTGACTACTGAACATGAGATAGAGGATAGATTGCATCAGATTATTTTCCTCTACGAAGAAGTCTATCCTAAGCTTATCAAGGATTTCAAAAATTCCCCCGCTCTTGCCAGTCTTCAACAATCATAACCTAAGCTTGACTCGATGAAAACTGCCATGTTAGATGATGAGTCAGTTGCGCTGGTCACAGAATCGTGTTTTGATGCTTATTTCTTGTAGATTAGCGAAAAATAATAAGACCTGTCAAAACCGCAACTTTCTACGTTCAATATTAACCGAGATATCGCCCTTTGAAAAGTCAGGTTTTTCTTCGCGACGAGTGCGTTATCTCCTGATAAGAAGATCTTTATAGTGCAAATCCGTCTGTTTCTCGAGTTGGTTTACGTTTAAAGTTGTTGAAGTTTCGCATTGCGCCCTCTGCATCTTTGATGGAACAAAAGAGGAAGAAACGAAGGGTGTCACTGCCGCAGTGGATGACGTCAAAAACCTGACTTTTCAAAGGGCGATATCTCGGTTGATATTGAACGCAGAAAGTTGTGATTTGGACAGATCTCATCATTTTTCGCTAATCTACAAAAATTAAGCATCAAAACACGATTCTGTGACCAACGCCACTGACCCATTATTTCAGCCTCATCACTGCTTCCATCATTGTTCTTTATACCTTAATTGTTGAAAATAATACATCTTATTAATTTTCAGAATAATTTTATTCCCTTTCCTATCACTCTATTGAATAGTCTTTTATTCATAGGAATGGGAAAGGGGGTCCAATAGAAGGGGCTGGGTCCCCCCTAGAAAAATCATGACTGTATGTACCAGCTCAATATCATTATACTACCGTGACTCCACCTTAAAAATCCTTTGTCTCAAGCCTACGCTTTTAAACTTGCAATTTTCAAACTGCCATAATGCCTACTTGGTTTGACATTTGTCAATTTTTTGGGCCAAAAAGTGACACCCCTTTAAATCTATGACTTGTCAGCCAATTTTGAGCTCTTTGGCACGAGGATCCCTTTTCCCTTGAGCAGTCAAATATTCTTGAGAGAAATACAATGATCTGGAGTATCAGTTATTTTTTGAGACAGTCTACACAGAATTCAGTTAAGCAACACTTCATCGAGGACTATCTTTAATAAGAGAATGAAACGTAGTCATAGTCGTAGTAGTTAAAACGAGTAAAGAGTATGAAGAGTATAAATAGACGTAAAAAAAATGAAATGCTATGATTGGAGATGAGATGGTATACTTCAATGAATTGACAAGTTACAACAAAAAAATCGAGACAGGCAAGAAAGCATAAGCATTTTGTATGATTAGCGAATTGGCGAGAGAAACACTTTCAAGTTGTTGATTATTACTGAATAAGCTCTATGATTGTGATGTTACCTACTATTTTTCTGACTATTTTTTTTTTTTTTTTTTTTTTTTTTAAATAAGTGTTTGATCATTTTGTTCTTTCTACATAAATTCAACTTGTTCAAAGAAAAAGCTCAATTTCTTAGGGTTTTTTCTCTTTCAAATTTTAAAATTTTCAAAATTGAGTCTCAAATTAAAGTAACTTAATTTCTAAGATTTTCAGATTCAAAATTTGTAAAAATATGTCAGTAAACAGCAATTTTAGAAAGTAAAACTATGTCATAATTTTTTTGTATCTTTGATTAAAAAGAGTACAAAAATTACATGAAGTTCAAATTTTTTGTGTTCAATTCCACTGTAAATTGCATGAAAATGCAGTGATCAGCCGTTTTTGGAAGTGCAGTTTTGACAAATTTTTTGCCATCTTAGATTTAGTACTCCTAAAAAATTTAAGCAAAAATCGAATATCTCAGGTCAAAACTCTTCAGGTTATCACAAGTCATAAAAATTCGTTCATAATTAGCCATTTTATGAATTTCTGCCGCCCCTATTATTGGCCACCCTATATTTAATAATATAAAAAATTAGTTAATCTTAAATTTGAATATCTTCGGTTTAAATACCGCAGAGCACTATGGAACCCTGCACACCGCTTCCAGAAATGTGTACCCTCACCAATTTCTAATTTTCTTATTGCATTAAACTTGTCTATTAGTCCGGATTTAAAGGCGTGTTTGCACAATTTGCTTTTAAAGTTTCGATAATTTGTCTGTCAAATGAAACCAGCGCAGCTATAATGATTCAAAGAGCTGGCTTGACTCAGCTTTATTTACGAAGCAAACTATTGAAACTTTAACGCCTACAGTGGCTCGTTGAAGCTTGGTGTAAATATGACTTTCAATCAGGATCAATAGACAAATTTAATGTAACAGAAAAATTGGAAATCGATATTTCTCAAGAGCCGTATTCAAGGCTTCTCATGAGGATACGTAGATAAACATACACTTTGTGAAGTCTTCAGACTTGTGATGCTCTAAGAGATTGAATATCATGTACTCCCAATATCAAACCTCTCTGGTCAAGAGGACCAACATGTGGAAAAAGCATAATTTTCACTTGTGTTGACTGCAATAAATCTATCAATATTGGAGTCGAAACCACATTGATTTTCCTCAAGACTTCATGGCCGGCTTATAGCTTGAAATTTTTCACTGTGATGAGGGACTTGTTAAAACACTTGCTCAATAGTCCGCTTGTAAATGAGCTTGTCACCTGGCAATACAAAACAATACAAAGAAGATTTAATGATGTGGTAAATAAAAGGACTCAATAATGAGAATTTGGTATAATCCTTGGATTGCCTTGATTTTATGCTCTTACAGTGTTAAATGTAGCATGAAATTATGCTTTCAAGCTTGAAAAAGCCGTCTCTTCATCGAGAAAAAGTGACATATACTTCAAGTCCTGGCTATGAAATTTATCTTATTGAAAAAAAGGTGTGTCCATGTTGTTCGAGCCATTTCCAAAAATCAATTTAAAACGGTAAAATAACCCTGAAGTGAGACTGCCTGAAAAATTTCTTTCGGCTTTTCCCCCAATAATAATTAAATTTCTTCAAATAATTGTATTCTTGCACATTCTCTCCTGCTCGCAGAACTTGTTATATATGGATTGAGCAAACGTTGCATCAGCTTGCTGATAAGTTCCTAATATTAAAATTTGGGTTCCACAGCCAAAATAGGCAGATCATATAATAAAAAATCCATAGAATGTGTTGTCAGCGATGATTAATAGAATTGTTGGCAGTCGACATACATGCACCTTCATAGGAGAGTAAGGAAGTAGAACACAACACAATGGTAAAGAAATTGTTTACCTGCGCACATTGCCTTTACCCTTGCGCATCTTCTTAATTTTTCCAGTTGAGCCGGTGCTCTTATTTGCAGCAAATGATCTATTTTTAAGAAGTGACCGACGTTTACCTGGAAAGAATAGAGAAAATACAGATCAGGAAAAGTTACGTTAAGATGACAACATCAAGAAATGTCAATATCAATGCAATAATAATTTACATTTTGTGGTAAAAAATACCCTTCTTTAATTTAGCGCTTGTTAAAAGAAAAATCAAATCTGAATCAGCCGAAAATCAGCTTTACAAAACAGGTTATACTTTCATTCAGCTCAGATCTCTAACTGGTATTAATAATTTAGGTTGAATTTGATTTCCTTCTCAATAAGTCACCAGTGAAATAATTCAGTCGTAGGAATGAGAAAGATGGAATTTAAATAGTGCTTTAGCTTACGTACAATTTTGCAAGAAACATGATGGTGCTATGGGGTTTCTCTAAAATAGACTCCCTAGCTCATAAACAGCTCTCAGACCACAATGGAGGGAATCGCCTACATTATGGTAAGGGTCAACCTCTACATCCAGTCAAACTTTTCATGCACAGATGGGGAGTAAATACATCAGCAGAGTTGCCTCTTTTTGAGTTGACTCCAAGGCTGCAGTTACAGCAACCTTGTTGATGTATTCGCTCCCTATCTATGCATGAAAAGTTACAGTAGTTGTAGAGGTGGACTCTCACCTTTATGCAATGGCGATTTCTGCATGTACGCTAGGGGAGCACTGCTTCCCCTGAGCAATGAGAAATGATTTTTTTTCTAGTACACTTATCATCTTTCAAAAATTATACTGAGAGCAATTAGAAAATTGCTTCGCAGTACGCATAATAGCGGGAAGTGTAGCCAAACGGTGGCGGTTATGTACGAATGCGAAAGCACTGCTTGTGCTCAGTAGTCACTGCAGGGTACGGGCTCGAACTCAGGGCGTGAAACGTGGAGCCACAGATAGTGTTGCTGAGTGTTGATAGTGGTATATCAGGCAACAGCACTAGTATGCTGTGCCTTGAGTAGCGTAGGCCCGCAACCAGGGCCACGCAGGGCACTGAGGTGCGTATTCAGACTTCATTTCTCTCATCTCCTGTTATCCCTCTCTCCTTCCCTCCCTCCCTTTGCCCCTGCAGCACTGTCTTTTCCATCGCTTTCTCCATTTTTTAGTCAAATTACAAATTCTAAGAACTATTTTTTCTGATCACTTAGCCACTTAACACATACAGCTATGGAACACAAAATAAAACTGACTAAAAAAAAATTAAAAATCCATGTGGGACATCCCCCTCCCCTTGCACCAATTTAGCTTCCCTTGATTTCATGGGCAGGAATTGCTACTGCCATTACGTAGGTGATTCTCTTCATTGCACACTCAACTTTAAGATTTTTTAGGCATGGGAGTTTGTCTCAGAAAAAAAAGTGATAGCGTTTTGTCTCTCACAAAAACACAAGAAAAAATACATAAGTCAAAAATCCCTTTGGCATGCAAGAAATCCACTAGTTGTGTCTGGCAAGAGAATACAGGGAAAGAGGACATACCAATGTTCAACAAAAAGTTATCATCCTCATCTTCAGACAGGGTATCCATTCTCCTTGGAACTGTTGGAGCAACACACATGGATGCCGATGCTACAGAATGTAGTACTTCTACAGGCCAATTTTTTGGAATATGTGACTCACTGGCTGATAAGATCTCTGAAAATGCAAACCAAAAGTACACTGTCCATTATGATTTTATTCAAGTCAAATCTTCCAAACCTCCGAGCTGGCGCAATCAGTAAAGCAAAAGAATCTGTTTATTTTCTGAAATTAAGAGATATCTTTTTTCCTTCTACCTACATGTAAAAACTCTTTTCATCTGGATACTGATTCAAGAACTAACCGTTAATTATTCGGGTTATTGTATGGGTGAAAGGATACCTCCGAACAAAAAAGGCAGTGTTACACTTAATTTAAAGTAATTTTACATACTTTTTAAAAAATACATTACAGAGATACTCTGAATTTTTTATCTTTCTTTCGTTTCTCAATTTCAATGCTTTCGTGATCTAATTTTATTAATTTTTACAGTTTTCATTCATGACTAATTTAACATAAATTCTTTGTGGACTTAAGAAAATAAGGAGGATCGTAAGAACTAGCATTAGATGATTTTAAAAGGAACATCACTTGGTAGGGTGGATGCGTACTTAAATTTTGTGTTATATAATTCATGAATGGCACCTGGTACCGAAAATCATTTGAGAGTGACAAAATTTATTATTTAGAAACTTAAAATGAGCGGATTATTTGGCCCGTCTTCCATTCTTTGAACTTGAAGCACTGAAGAATTAAATATTTCCTGACGTTTTTATGCTGAAGGTGAGTCAGGGTAAGAATGGTAGAAAGAAAATCAGCAAACCCCTATCTGTCTTGACCAATCTTATAATAGGCCAATGCGTCTCTCTGTAAAAGACTTTTTAAAAAACTTATAAATTTCAATTAAAAAACTCTAAATAAAACTATTAAAATTTACAAAGAGGCTAACCCTTCTTGAAATTTTTTTTACGTAAAATGTATGAGACGTCGATTGTAAGTACAAGAATTGTTAAAAAAAACCTCTTAAAATAATTCAACGGTTTTTTAACACTTTTTTACATTAATTTTACTGCAAAAATTGTTTTAAGAATCACATTTTTTCAAAGACTGATTCAACACTTTATTTCACTTGAATTTTGCCTCTCACAAATTTTACATTAAAAAAAATTCCAAAAAGGGTTTCCTTCTTCAAAGATTTTACCAGTTTTTTTGAAGAGTTATTAAAAAACAAATGTTAACAGCCGCTGCTGGTATGAATGTGATAAATTTGCCTTATCCTCTGACATACATGGTACAAAGGACAAAGAAGATGGCAGAAATGAGAAGGTTACACTAAGCAAGAAAAAGAAAATAATCTAAGAGCAAGCAATAAATTAAAACATGTGCAAAGTTAAAACCTCCTGCGAGTGCCATCAGTCATTCAAATGAAGACAAAGATTTGTAATGAGACCAGCGAATCAACAGGTTTACATAAAACACAGAGGAACAAACTAATTTTATGAGACCAGTATTAAGATAAGGTTTACCAGATTCATTCCGTAGCTTATGGTACATGGTTTCAAACTTCGACCATTCGTCAACAAAGTCGGTCTCGTCAAATAATGAGAAACCATACTTCATAGGATCAAACTTCTGCTGAGTTCTGGTCTGGGTGGCCAATTTTTCTCGTGTAAACCTATCAAATCCATACTGCAAAGAGAAAAAACAGAAAGCTCTCAACTGACAAGTAATTAATTAGAAAGTTGTATTACACTGAAAGCCCTAATTTATCCCTGTTTCCAGTTCTGCAGAATCGCCTGGCTACAATAGAGAGCTTACAAGTAGCTATAAGCTGTTTACAAAAATAATACGGATACATTGTATTCTTATATAATTTATAGACATGGAGTCAAGAATCTCATTCGCCAAAATTTATTGGAGAACTGGAAATTGATCTGATAATATTCATAGGAGTGCTTCTCAATCTCAACAAAAAATGTTTAAGATCAAAGATTAAAAAGAAAGTGGATTTTTGGGATTAAAAATTCTACATTAAAAAATAGATACACTAGTAAGCTGATTATTTGTATTACAGTGAGTTGAAATTTTTTATATAAAAACATTTGGGTGATATTTTAATATTCATCGAATGGATTTGCTGGAGAGAAAGCTTGGAAACTTCCGCTTTCTGCGCCTCCAAAAGTATTCTTCCAAAATTACACTATTTTAGAAAACCATTTTTCATTTACATGACTCTAGAGATGTTTTGCTTGGAAAGATGTTATTAAGGTAGTGGTCTGTGTTTAAACTCATGCCTTCCATACAGTGCCCCTTCCTTGCAAAATTGTGGTAATGATGTAGAATAGAATAATCTTGACATATTGGTACAAACCTGAATGCTGCTCGCTTCGTAAGAGAAAGCATGTTTCTCCACCAAAGTCCGCATTATATAGAAGGTGTCAAAGTGTTCATCTTTGACTAGCAGTTCTACAAAGGATACCAATTCTTTCCATTCTTTTAGATCTAGCTTGATTGAAACCATCTTGTCACTGCAATTCAATAGACATAAAAATCATTCAGATTAAAATCCAACTCTTCAGATACTATGTCTTGAAGATACACAGGCGTCTTTTAAAGTCTCCAGACAGTCATTACAATGCACGACAATTTGATGTTTGTTTCTCATAAAAGATTCAACAGTTTTTATAGATAAGTCAGTCAAGCTACTTTGATAAAAGAGAAGCAAATATAATGGGAATTTGAGATGACAAAACAGACCAACAGCCCTTGGTGGTTAGAATAAAAGTTTGAATTTACTGAGAATTTTCTCAAAGAACTACTTTTTTGAAGTAATTTCCGTCTGAATGTCCACAGAAAATTCTATTCAGTGGAGGATTTCATTTTTGATAACTATCACTTTTGCCCCGCTTTTCCAGCTTTAACATGTACCTAGAAAAATAAGAGAGACAGAGAAAGAGCAGGATCCGTTCTTTATGAATATATACATTATTTTTTGAGGTTTGGAAAAGCTATGAGTGGTAAACCATTTTAGGCACAGCAGAGAATCAGATATTAGGGAGAGGAATCCATACCAACAAAATCAGTGGAGCAAATTATACCACTGTGGAAATATATTTTATTTACTGTTGATGACTTGATGACTCATTTCATATCCCTCACTTTAAATCTTGGAATGTTTAAAATATGCTGCAAAAAATGGAATTATATCTTCTGCAGAAACAATCCTGAGGCATATTTTAACTCTCAACATGGTTTAATTTTTAATGCGCCTATCACCCTTGTAACATCTAAGGCCAGCAATAAATACTCATTGGTTCAACTTTTTTATGCCCTGTCTATGGGTGTAATAGACATCTTCAGATCTTCTACTATTCCAAACTTTCTGTCAAGCTCCTGGGTTGGATCAATTTATGTTCGATTCTTAGTTTAAATTTGACCTCTGTGCACATTGTCTCTCATACTTGCAGCCTGCTCAACTGTTTTTGGTTTTTGAAAAAAAAATTGAGGGAAACAAGAGTAAGGGTTTAATTTCACTTCCTTTACTCTTGTTTCCCTCAATTCTTTAACTCCCACGGTATGTACACTAAAATTGCAGAATTAGTAGTTTTGCAAACAAAGAAAGAAAAAAAAGGAGGAAAAAAAGGGGGAAAAAACTCTGATAGAATTAAAAGACAGAGAAAATTGAAATACACCTTCACAAAATTTGATTGAAAAAATTTTTGATACGAACTTGGATGCAGGGGTCTCATATCTTATGGTATACTGAAAAAGTGGCGCCTAAATCTGTTGTCAGTATGTGTGATGCTCTATAATAACATTTTAAATATGCTGGTATACAATTCTTCATTTTACAGTCGGTACACTTGATGCCTATTTTTTCTGGGTTATTCCAACTTTGATTTTTGCTGCTTGTTGAGGTGTTTGATTTCTCAAGGCGCTGTGCCTTTGATGACAGAAAAATAAGTCAAGTTTTTACTTCTTAGTCCAACGTCAATTGTTCTAATTTTCTCCCATTCAACATCTATTACTGAGCTTACTTACTCCATACAGCCTTTAAAGTCATTCTCAGAAAAAATATTACAACTCTATACTGAGAAATATCCATGAATAGTTACTACACAACACTCACTTGAATGGCTGTTTAAAGTATAGACCATACATGATGTAGATTCCTCCAATGCGTGTGCGATATGGGTATGGAGAAAACATGAATGCTTTTGCAACTGCAAAAAGTTCCTCAACAAATTCAAGTAACTCCCGGAAATTTGGTCTACCACTGAAAACAAAAACCATCATGGATTAATTGCATTGTTGAAGAAACACTGAGTCACTGAGGTAATTTGTCTCAGGTAGTCATTTGCTGTGATTGAATTAGCGTTTGATTCTGTGCATTAATTGAATGAAAAAACTTCCAATATTAAGCAACAGAGAATCAGATCATTTGCAAAAAAAAAGCTTTCGACACAAGTAAATGTTAAACTCTGACAAAGAGACAAAAAATGAGGTTTATATATTACCTAAGTTGTTACTGATATATTTTAAATCATTTTCTTCGAAAAAAAAAGAAAAAAAAAAAAAAAGAAAAAAAAAGAAAAACTACTTGTTCTCAATGTTTTTAAAAACATTCCTTGACCTAGAACAACCTGTTATTATTTACTATAAAATTCTCTTTCCACTGAGACAACATGCAAGATAATAAACAACATAATCAGCAGTAAGTGAGAAATTTGACAGAAGAAATCAAATTGAGATTCAATTATTTTCAGCGCATAAGGCAATGGCTAGACGCTGGAATTGTGGTCAAATTGTTGTGAAACCAGCTCCAATCCGACGACTTGATTTTACTTACTCATTGACAGCTAAAGTAGAGTCCGTGCCAACTAAGTTTACGAACTTTTAGACTGTGACAGAAGATTCGCCATCTTATTTCTTGCATTAACTATTCATGTAAAAAAATGTCAGACAATTTTCTGCTGCAATCTTAAAGTACATCCAGTTGTACGGCATGGCCTCTAATTTGACCGGGCCTCACATGAACTGACTTGGAGAACTTCTTTTGAAGTAAAACCTTCGAGCAGGGAATCAGAGCTGAGGTATGAGGCAGCATCATAAACGGAGCGGCATCGGCGCGCAAGGCGAAGGTCCGGCGCGGACTTTCATGCCACATCAAACAGTGCGCCGGGGGATCGCATTTGCCCGTGAGGCGGCTTATCCTGGTGCAGCCGACACCCGGCATGACTTTTTGATGCCGCATCAATTTTAATGCTGGATTCAGCATCATAATTGAAGCGGCTTCAATTAGCAGACGCGTGGGATGCCAGCAGCCTGGGTAGCTCATCGCACCGGGCTGTGTTTTCAACCCTTCCTCGGCGTCCACTTCTTAGAACTTCCCGTCGAGGCGTGGGCCGCCGCGTCGATGGAAAATGTAGACAAAGGGGTGTTCCGCAAATTCATCGCTAAGTCTAAGGGTCACATACCCCAGCAGTCTTTTGGGTCAGCCCTGTTGGTAATGAAGCTGGGACTGGGACCGAATATTGATGCCGTATCGGGTCTCAAGCCGAGGGTCTGGCATCAAAAGTTGAAGCCCATGTTGGTCCCTAAGCCAGCATCAAACCTCAGCATCAGCGCTTAATGCCGGCCCAGCCGGCATTGGGCTTCGATGCCCGAAGCCAGCAGGTTGCGCGCATAAGGCGCGGCCCCGCATGCCCGCTATCTGGGCATACAGCATTAATGCTGAAGCTGCGAGCCGATGCTGTACCGTATAACATCATAAGGCGCCTCAAGTCCCTGCCTTCAAGTACCTGATCAATTCAGAGATTCCAACTCAACTTTCCAATGATTTTAAGATTTCTGTGAAAAATACATGAAAATCTGCAAACTTTCAATTATGATAGCTATCAAGAAATATGGTTATTACCTAAAAATGTGGTTAAAACCCATTTCGTGCCATACTTGTATAAAGTCTTGAAATCTAACAGTTGGTTTACTTGAAAATCGCCTTAACAGTTCCTCGCAATCTTCACGTACACCAGAAGATAAATGTGCAGATGAAATTTCTGCTAGGTCTTTTTCCTTTCCGACCATGTTGCTGAAATTCTTGCACCCTGACACGAAAGAATAGTTACTAGTAGTCCATGTCTCACTTACAGAGACAGACGTCTACAATAGAGTCTCTAAAAGATGAAGAGTTAGAAAGTACGAGAGGACATGAAGTTTAAATAAAACATGATCAATACAGTGATAATTTTCACCAAACTCCCCTGTTGACTTGAAGAATATCGTGATTGTATGACACTAGATAACCCTGCATTGAACACATGAAAAAAGAGAGACTTTTTCATTAATGACTGTCAAAGGAACTGCACTACTGCACATGTGTGTACATAACCTCTCAAATCAAATCATAACAATCAACAAACAATCCTCTGGATTGAGGAGTCACCCTGTATAATGTTATGTTAAAAGTGCACTTTTCCTCCGGTAGGTTGCGTAATCATCAAATGCAAATGTGTTGTTATCAGTAGTTTATCAACTCGCGTCTGCTCTGTCTGAACACGATTTTATTACTTTCTTTACTAATTTATTTATTGTGTGGTACGTGCAACTGCAATGGTGCAATACTGATGCAACACTGTGTTTAGTGTTCTGTTTTGCCTACAACATCTATGGCTACCTTATCAGCTTTGTCGAAGAATTGTCGAACAATACTTAGGTCCTCGCTCAGCAGAAGCCTTCCAGCGCTTGCTTATCACAAGAATGTAAGAATTTCCATTCTCCTAAACTTTATTTGTTGACACTTTTCAATCCTATCTGTTTTAGTTCCCAGTAGAACTTGCAAGAAAACCTTGCCATGTAGATCCAAGGTCAGTCTATTTACAGCACCCAATCTCTTGCAGTTCATCATGAAATCGTTTAGTATTTGTCTGCATGAGCCACGAGATATTAAACATCGTAGTGTTCATAGCTGAAGAAAATTATATGATGCTATGTATATCAGTCTTATGAGCCAAGCAACTCAGCGGACAAAGACATGTGAGGCAACAGCGCTTCGACTTGGAACTCCAGCAGTTCTGATGATGCCCCCCATTTCTGAAAAGAGTGGCCTTATTGGAGTGTATCTGTATCTTGAAACAAGCGAAGATTTGTCTGAACATTATTACCTCTTTTTTACTGCAGCCATCAAAACGGAATGTGTTTCTCCTCTTTCATCAATTTCAAGTTATCGTCATCATCTATTGTCCTCTTGATTGCCTTTTCTATTTTGAAGTTAAGAGAGATTGGTCAATTCACTTCAAAATAGAGCTAATATTAAATCTTTTTTAAAATCATTTTTGAGTACCTTTAATAGTAATGCACTGAAATTTCAAATCAAGAAGCAGCCTGTATATTTTATGTGAATTGAGGTGAATTAGAAAGGATTAAGCTCTTATTTTGTCTAGCTGTTCATTTAAAGTGGTATCTGCTCTATTTATTCCTTTAGGTGATCGATCATTATGAAAATCCAAGGAACGTAGGTTCCCTAGACAAGAATGATCAACAAGTTGGCACCGGGTTAGTGGGTGCACCAGCATGTGGTGATGTCATGAAATTACAAATTAAGGTAAGTTCCTTCATCTGACTTCAAGTGTCTCATGAGCAGGGATTGGGGGTCGAGTAAGCCTGCAAACTCGATGTAGGAGCGATCTCTCTTTAGCGAGACTGGTTACGCACCCTCTAGAGAGAGTCTACCCCTAGCACGAGTCTCTCCATTAAGTTCACCCTCTAAGCTAGAACGTAAGGCAGACTCTCTTCAACTGCAGTCTCTCTGGAGAGAGGGTGGGTCAGGTCTCAACGACAACACAAACTTTCAAAGGAAGGACCGTGTGGCTGCCGGATGCTGCTGCACGCTCACAGTAACTTCTCGGAAGTGGGGGTGTTGCGAGGATAGCACAGGTCCCAGGCAGGCTGAAAGACAATATACATTCATGTGGTGTATGGCAAGGACGATTTTTTGGAAAGACGGAAAATGGAAATCCCCGGCTGCGGTGGGGGCGCCCCGAGAGCGTATTTACCCTGCCTGCGTACAGGCACAATTGGGCTGGAGTTTCTTCATCCATTAACGAAGGATCTCGATCTTGTGGTCTAATACCGGGCGTCAGCCAATGCCCGGTCTCAGGCTATCTTGATTTGAGATGTGGTACTTAGATGTCTTGTCTTGTTATACCTTATCTTTCCAAGAAAAAGTTGCTCCATGAAAATTCCGAAAAATCTCCGTGATTTTATCTCTCAGTGCTAGGAAAATTCTATGAAAACTTCAAGTGTTGATGTTTATTTGATCTTATTTTTAAAAGCAACACAAAGTAGAGGTTTTAAAATACCTCAAACTTAATATGTGGTTTGGAAGGTTTACTGTTGAAATTCTAATTCCTTTCTGCATTTTTAATAGGATATAATTACAATAGTAATGTAAATATCTGTTTCTTGAAAGAAGTATTAATTTTCTTTTCTCATTTTTTCTTAGGTGGATGAAGATGGAAAAATAATTGATGCAAAGTTTAAGACTTTTGGGTGTGGCTCAGCAATTGCTTCAAGCTCTCTTGCCACTGAATGGGTCAAAGGCAAAACCGTGAGTATTACATCTTCCTCCGACATCAAATTCTCGCGTGACATTGTGGAAGCCTCCTCAATTTTGTGGAAGCCCTTTCTTGTATTTTTTCTTTCTTCACTTTGTATCACATATCTTATTATGGACCGAAACATTGTGAAAGGGTTTTTCATCAAAATATTTGAGATATCGAGAACAGTTTCCACAATTTTTACCCAAATATTGTGGAAGGGTTTTCACAATTTTCACTGAAGTAATCAGAAACAGTTTCCACAATTTTTACTGCATTATTGTGGAATGATTTCCACATTTCATACCAAAATATTGTGAAGAGACTCCACAATATTCCTTGAAGTGTGATACCTAGGGTTTCCACAATTTTTACCTGTATGTTGTGGAGGGGTTTCCACAATTTGGACCAAAATATTGTGGAAGAGTTTTCATATTTTTTGCCAAAATACCTTGGAAGGGTTTCCCCAATTTTCATATTGTGCTAATTGCCGGATAAGCCTTAATTTTTGCAAAGTAAGTTCTTGTCTACAGCCATGGGAGTAGCAGAAAAGTGCGTATTACATAATCTACTCGCCATGTTTTTGCGAGAATGTTATATTTTTTCTCATGGACCGTTGATAAATTACATAACGCCATAGGGGGAAGGATTTTGTTTTTTTTGGTGTTAAAGGATAGAGACCTACATTATAAGAGCGTTACAGGAGGGAGTAGAGGTCAAAAATGCCAAAAAAATGCGTTAGGCTAAATACGAAACTCTTCCATGCTGTGTCACTAATAGTTGCGTTCAGTTTAAGAGCGACAACCCTCCTCGTTCCGAATTCCCAACCAATTCAATCAATAACCAAAAAATAAAAAAAGAAGAAAAAAAAGGTCCTCACTTTTTGTGGAAGGAGTCGCGAAATTGTGAAAGTACATCTTCAGTTTTTTTGTGGAAGGGGTAAAAATTATTTCATGCAATTGTGGAAGCATAGAAGAATGTGCACTCCTGCCAAAATATAATTAGAGGTGGGGAACAAAATCCATCTCAGAAACTTTTATCGGAAAAGGAAGGAAAAATAGTATCAGGGAAAAGTCAAATCAAGAGATAGGGCGTTTTAAAAGTCAAATGTCAAAAATTGGGTTCGTGTGAGAGATGTCCTCAAAAGAAGAACTCTTTTTTAATTTCTTTCGTTATTATTTCATGTTTTACTGTCTTTCTTTTTTCAATGTCCCTCAATATTTTTGATTGGATTTGCCTTCAAAATTAATTATGAAAAATACGTGTTTTTGACCATGTGATGTGAGATAATCTGATTTTCTACAAAATTGAAGTACTTTGGTGAATACATATACAATTGGAACTTAGTTTAACCACATCGTACATCCAAATTGCTCCCTTTTTTTTGCAGGTGGATGAAGCCTTAAAATTGAAGAACACAGACATTGCTAAAGAGTTAGCATTACCTCCAGTGAAACTGCATTGTTCAAGTAAGATTTACTCTTCAATTTTATCAAATACAATTAGAATACTCTACTTGTTTGTTTTTTTTTTTTCTTTCTTTTTTGAGATTTTTTTTATGCCATTGCAAGCGCATCCCTGTATCAGTTAGGATTAAGTTGCTTGACTCATTATATTGAAAGGAAAAACCTAGCTCTTCAGTAAATACAACTTCTCTTACTGAGGCTGTAGTCATAGTACACTGCAGTAATAGAACAAAATTAGCTTTACCAGACTTTTTTGCTTTGGTCATAAAGGTAAGTCAAGGATAACTCCAGGACAAAGAACTTTGACTTTCCAAGGCTTGACATCCGTCTTTTTGACATTATGAAATAGCCTGTATGCAGTTGCTACCGTAATATGAAGATGTTTGTATTTAAAAAGAGAGGAGGGCATGAAAAAGAGGCAATACTTTGATTTGCAGAACAAAACTGTGAAAAATCAGAGAAAAGGATTTGTAGTGTACCTACATAGTGTAATAAGGTTTTGGTACTAAAAAAGGCTGTATTAGTAAACATTACCTTACAATATTTTCACTGTATGCCAGCCCCTCCTGGTGAACCACCAATTGCCTTTGTAAACTATTGAAGCTTCGTAAAATCCGTATTTTGGAAGCTTAAAGTTATAAATAGAACTGAAAGCTATTTGCGTATTGACTCTGAAACCACGCATCATGTTGCTTGTTTTCAAAATCTCTGCTCGTACCATATTTTTTTTTATGAATATTACTGAAGGATTTTTTACGAACTTTTCAGAGAAAATCTTTGGAAAGTAAAGAAATATTGTACAAAATGTAGTGCAGTAAAGATAATTGGTCGTCCTTCAAAAAAGTAAAATATTACGGGGAATGCGCTGCATCCCAAGCCAGGATACTTGGTTTTGCATTTTCATCATCAACATGGTTTTTCATCTAATTGCAGTTGTAATAGATCTGACTGGACCAAACGAAACCAAAACCCTTCTAAGCCACTGTCATTTCATTCACAGTTTCAGAAGCAGATAATTCACGACGAACGCAATATCGAATTGCGTATCGTTGCTCTTGCTTCAACTCCGCAGGTGAACTCATGACGAAACACAAAAAAACGCGTTATCAGGCCGGACAATTTCACTAAACTGACTTTGCAAACAGAAAAAAACTTCTCGGCTGTGATGGAAACACTTCCTGACAAGTGGAAACTTGCATCCAGAGAAGTGGAAACTTGATTCATAACGTCTGAACCAATTTCAAAGCTTGCGGAGGCAAAGTTAAGGAATGAAAAATTACCGAAAAATTCCGTAGGGGTATTTCTTACACGTCTCGGGAAAATCGATGTAACTCGTTGAGTTTTTAACCAAATTAGCTCAACTTAGGCTCGTTTAAGAGCTAAAAGTATGAGCTATCACCTCCCGCAAACCGCATGTCAATATCTATTGTAGTTCCCGAATGACAGACTTAGTGCCAGTTGTTTTGGGACAGCCTATGTAGATTTGTCACATTATAGTAGTAAGTATAAAATCAAAAGGAGACTCTTAAAAAATATAAATTGAACATACTTTAATTTATTGAAGGAAATCAGAAAATAATAAACATTTCCAAACCCAGGATTCGACAATATTCTCTAGATACCATAGATTTGGCCTCAGTTCATATTTGTAATTTCACTTTAGGGATGCAGAATAGGTATCACAAGTTTTTTTGTCTTTGATTGCCCACCCACCAGCTTTCTACAAAATTTTCCTCAAATTCCGAAATTAAGAACCTCTTTAATTTTCAACTTTTGATCCGTTGAGACAGTCCATCCTTCAACATTTATAAGAGCCTTTTCATTGTTTTTTGTGCCCAAGTGGACACGTGATCGAGGATTTTCTGCACCCCAAGTTTCGCCCAACATTAAAATTTTGTTTTACAGAAGGCTTAATTTTTTTTTCCAGTGTTGGCTGAGGATGCAATCAAAGCAGCTCTCTCTGACTACAGGATTAAGCAGCAGTCAATTGAAAAGGCAAAAGATGAATGCAAGGAGTAACAGCACCGGCCACCAGCAGATGAAATTAAACAAATTTTTCTCATTCCAACTGATCAAACTCTGAGGGATAATTCCAATTTTCCAACTATGAATTAATCCATTGTAATTTTTGAAAGTTTAGTTGTCTGGGCTGTTTTTATTTTATTTTTTTTTCAGAAGGTAATGGTGTCACAGCCAAGGCAGTGATTTTGCAGTATTTGTCTCGATATATTTGTAAAAATTAAAATTGTAGAGTCTTAAAAACAATCTTTGTGTATCTACTCGTTGTTGCGTTTCTAGAGCTAATAAATTAAAAAAAAAAAAAAAAAAAAAAAAAAAAAAAAAAAAATACAAAAATTCCCAATCTTCTCTTTACCTTTATCTACCCCTAATCAAATAATTTCAATTAAAGTGATTAGGTATCCGTTGCTCCATACTGGCGGCTAAATCCGTATTTGTGGATAGCCGCAAGCGGATTTAGTTAAGTTTTTGACCTACTGCTGACCTCTGCTAAAACAAAACGAAATGCCCTCCGTCCAACGGTGTGCCTTTAATATTTGGTTTTCACACTGGCAGCAATAGCAACCGCATCCGAAATTCTAGACCCACTTCCCCAGGTGGGTCGAAAAGTGGATGGATGCAAATATTGGCCAAAATTTATCTAGCAACTGAGTTCAGTTCTTGACCTCAGCAGAGCGTTTTTTTCCCTTTGAGTTGCAACTCTGCCAATCTGGTTGAAAAAGTTGACCAAATCCACTCGCAAAAATTGGCCTACAGTCGTTAATCCTCAGTACTATGTTGATAGCTTGATCGTTCGTTACTCATCTGCTAAGATTTTTTTTTTTCTGTTGAAAATCTAATCTCAGGTTTAATCTCAGGTGAATGAGTCAGTTGCTCTAGTCACAGAATTCTGTTTTAATGATTTTTGATAATAAAGCAGCAACAGTAACTAAATAGGTACATCTAACACTGAATATACATCGAATGGGTACATTAAATGGACTTGCTGTTTCAACATTTCTGTAAGATAAATATTGTTGCGGTGAAATCATAAGAAAAGAGAGGAACTCCTAGGCTCAAACAATCAAAAGAATGATGAGTTGATCAGGGATTAATTTGTATCCTTCGATACAAAACAGAGGGGGACACAGCATCTTCCCTTTTAAATCTTAAGTTATAGAGAGAATTTAATTCCATTGCAGGGATGCACAGCTTCAGGCAGAAATTCTTTCGCTTGCCCAGGAATCTTTGGAAATTCTCTTTACCTTATGCAATAAATTTTCTTTGTGATTCTATGAAGATTCCTTGAAATTTTCCACAAAAAACATGCATGCTTTTTAATGATAGAAATAATATTTCAGCTGTAACATTGCAATTCAATTAAGCACCTGTGCCTCTGGTCCCTTCATTTTATGACTTTTCACTTTTTGAGATAATTGATTAGGGGAAGTTTCACTTTCACATCAAGTCTATCACTTTTTTATCTCAATGAAACAAATGAAAAGGAGACAAGTTTTTGGAGTAGCTTAGAAAACTTTTTACTTCAGAGAAAATTTCACGGTATTACAATTGGTTCCTGCATTATTTGAGATGGGTTGAGTAAAATCAACTGATCTGACAAGGACATTGTATGTTCTGTGAAAGTTAATGGTTACAGTAAAACCAAATGGACAATGATAGATACACATATGAAGACACAGCTGATAAAATAGATCCTGCCTCATTGCTCATTTTATGAATTTTTATTCATAATCACAGTTTACGTACAATCATTTGCCTTTCTTAGCGCATTTACAGAGGGTGGCCCAGGCCTACCGTACCAGGGCTGTTTTCACTAAATTTAGGTCATACAGGGTCCAGGACCGCAGGGACGGGTAGGAACCTCAAGGAATCCGAATTTCTTGGTCCCAGAGCCTCCCGGCCCCCCTTGGAAGCTAAGGGGGGTCAGTACTTCACAAGTCAGGGTTCATGCCAAATTTTGAAATTATTTCATCCGAATCAGGAAGTACAGAAATTTTTAACTGAAATCGATGCCAAAAAATCCAAAATCAGCCCATCCGTGTTCAAAGTAATGACCCCTACAGGTGAGGGACTGAGTCCCTTTTACAAAAATTTGTAAATTTAACCAGTGAGAGGGTTCCCCCTATGTCCCATCAGAGAAGATTCTGGGGACAACAGGACCCTCAAATTCGGATTTCTTGAGGTCTGTAACCCATGAAAACTTAAATTTTCTGAAAGGGGGCTCTATCCCCCACCTTTAGGGGTCAGTATTTTGGACACAGATGGGCCGATTATAAAATTCTTGGTGCTAATTTCAGTTGAAAATGTCCGTATAGTCTGATTCCGATGAAATAATTTTAACTTTTTGACATAAACCCTGACTTTCAAAGTATGGACTCTCCTTCGCTTCCAANGGGGGGGGGGGGGGGGCAAGGAATTCGGATTCCTTGGGGTCGATTTCCCATCCATCCCCGCAGTCTTGGACTGTATACAGCCTAAATTAACCGAAAAAGCTCAGGTACAGTAGGTCCGGGCCACCCTGTAGATCGAAGGTTTTTCTGTTTCTATTTTACAACTTTCTTTCAAGGCGTTTCTTGAGATTATAGGTGGGCTGCCTTGCATTTCATTCTTTTTTTTTCTCTCTCTTCATTTTTTTGAGATATGAAATCTACCTTACAGGGTAGAAAATGAAGGCATTAAGAGAAAGAAAAGAAAAACTTTGGTCTGATTATAGTTTTGACTTGAAGACTACCGGATTCGATTTTTCTTCATTTGAATTCACTAGTTACTTTCATTAAAATAATTATAACTATACATAATTTATGACACAATCAGTTACATGGGATATGGCATTGGTGACACAATTGGCTAAGGAGTCCAATGCACAAGCATAAGCTCAATAACCCACACACACTTCGAAAGAATTTATGCTGGATGAAGTCTTAGTTTTTTGATTTGTTGAATCTATTCCCTGTTTCAAGCGATTAGAAGATGATGGAGAAACCTTCACTTCTAATTGGTTGAAAGCATAAGGTATTTCTACTTATTAGCAGAATAAATTGTCATGGAACCGACAGACTGAAGGGTTGGACGTAGTCCTTACAAAGATACAAAAAAAAAAGAGCTCTTACTGAGCTAAGCAACAAGAACCAAAGAAATGATTCAGACATACAATATCACCCAAAAGGAGGTGGACAAGTGACAGACAATCACTTGCAATTTTTTGCTTACATTCAGATATACTGATTACAGAGGTATATCAACGCAAAAAATTCCACAGGGCAATATTACAACACACTTATTACGACATGAAAACTACTAACTCAAAAACTTTACATACTTGTTTAAGTATTGAATAAAAACATGTAAAATAAGAATAACAATCTAAGTTCCGGCCAAACAGGAATCCGCGGGAGATGCCAGAAAAGTCATGATTATTGAGGAACGATGATTGAAATGCCCATACTGGAGTTGCTTGACCTGAGTCAACTTTAATCTTTTTTCTTTGGTTTTTTCGGATTGCGACTTCGTGATTTTGCTTTGCACAAGGGACAGATGGGTGCGTTGCGATGAATTTGCTGATGACATGACAAGCAGGATTTCATTGGCGGAGGCTGTTGTCTGGAAAAAGAAAATAAGGTTAAATTGAAATAGTTATTAAAACATGATGAATAAAAAATAAAAGTGATCATAATATAATGCTGATCCTATAAGTTGCTTTAGGTTATGCATTAAAAAAACTTAAGGGTTGATGTGAGAGGGCGATACAAATTTTCTGGACCTCTAAAAACTAATATGAAATCCGGCAAGAATTTTTCAGAGATACGGAGTCGAGAGTTGCCTGAAAAAAAACTAAGCTGTGGTAAAAGTGCATTTGAAATCCCTTCTTCCAAGAAATAGTCAGTATTTGATACTGAATGGACCGTTCCATTATTTTACATACTTGACTAGACTTATCAATTGAATAACAGAAGATGTTTTGGGTAATTGTTAATTTTTTGAAAGGTGTAATTATTAGTTTCTTCAAGGAAACATATAATCTCATAGAGGGATCGAGAGAAAACTTCAAGAGATTTTCTGGAGTCAACTTGATCAGTTGATGGGCAAACTTTTTATCAGAAATAATATATACCGAGTTTTGAAAGTTTTATGGTAGGTAAACAACTTGCAAAGCAGAAAGCTTGGCAGATAAAGCGGTTGGGCAATCAATTTATCAGGGTGGTAAAGGTTAAGTGTACTATCACATTAATCTTCGCTCCACCTTTCAGGTGTGAAGGGGAAAGGGGAGGGGGAAGGGGGGAATTTCAACTTCCATCAGATGAAATGATGAAAGGAATCACCTTAAAAGAAATACACCCCAAGAGATTATTTTGAATTCAATTACTTTCTCATGCATCATTAAAGCTACGGCATATCAAGGACAGGAGAATTTTGTTACTTCCTCATGAAATGTGCCTTTTAATACTTAAACAGGGTCATCACCAGGGTGTCTACGGAAACAGGCTGATCAAAAATAATTACTTTTACAGTACTTTTTTGGTACCTTATCAAGAAATTTAGTGCCTCCTCCAACAGATAAATTCCGGACTTTTTCAGTACCTCCATATGACGAAATTTGAAAAATTTCAAAAATTTGAAATTGCGACAAAAATGACAAAAATTTAAAAAAAAAATCCGGACCTTTTTGCGGAATTTCTACACTTTTTCAGTACTTCCGGACTGCCCTTAAAAAATCAGTACTATTTCCGGACTTGTAGACACCCTGCATCACAATTTAATAGACAAAGAACCAACCGGAATGTTGGAGCTGGCATTGGAGGGATTGGTCTGCTGTCAGGTGTTTTACTTGGACCCGGAATCAGAGACAATTGAGACGGCGTGAGAAATGCAGCTGCTGCTACAGCTTGATGCGCATGGGTGAAACTTGCCAAAGCAGCACTTGTCGTTCCACGACTCCAATCTGATGGAGGCTTGAAAGGTTTTTCATAATAGTTTTGAGCAAACAACCTAAAAAAAAAAATTCAAACACATTATTATCATCTGACTAATGCATTTGGAGCGAAAATCTCGTTCTAGTGTCATTCCATACAAAAAAAATGAACGAATTCAAAATTTCAATGCAAACGAAGTGACAAGATTATTTTATTAATCCCCTCAGCTACTGACCTAATCAGATACAAACTGCATATCTATGAGAGAGAAATTCAGAACTGGTATCAATAGAAATAGTTATAAGGATCCGCTAAAAGATGCAAATCCCCCAGCTTTAAAGCAGAAGATGCAGAGACATCTGTTATAAACTTTTCTGCTTAAACAGGATTCAAACCCTCTTTTGCACAAAGTAGTGTGTCAAAAAAGTGTATGCTATTCGATTTCAAAATTTTGCCCACTATGCCCCATGCTGCGCATGTATTACCGATCTAGTATCAGCTGAAAACACAGTTCTGAAAGACAAAATTAGTGACCTAAGTGACACTGTAGATCAAATTACAGATCCATAAACAGGACTAATAGAAGTGAATAATCACTATGAGTCACTTCAAACACTTTAAGGAGCATTAGACAACCTTTTTTAATGACAAAAATCACCTTTGTAGGTCGTTCCACGCACAATACCATGTCTACAATGGAATTTGCTCATAACTTCAATGTATATTAAACAGGATTGTCAAAATTAGTCATGAATCACTCCATACGCGTATAAGGACACTAGAGGATTAACTCAGTAGTCGCTCAATACTTCGTTCACTGAGTAACTTAAATTCTCTTTTTCTCCTGAAACATTTGAGTCTTTGGACATGTTAATGTCTCTGACTGATTTATTTGTGAAAAATAAAAACAAAAAGAACTAAATTTAAATGGATCAAGATACATTATACAATAATTGAGGAGTTCTTTGGAACAGGGGCATATGCACAGAAAAGTAGTTTTGAGGAAATCGCATTTGTAAGTTCAAAAGTCAGTGACTCAGGTTCTAGCCAATACGTTTTTTTTTTTTTTTTTTTAGAAAATTTGATTAGTTCAAAAAGAAAAAGCCTTTGAGCGTATCTTGCAAAAAAGAACATTGTGACTACATTCCCCTATGATTCCCACAAGATAACAAGGATTGTTGTATGTTGATGCCCTTGTTCCGAGGAACAAATGCGCATAGAACAAAAATTTTACCTTCTACAGAAAAAGATTATGAAACAAAGAAGTAAGTGGAAAAAGAAGCTATGAAGACTTTACTTAAAGTACAATGGAGGTAATTACCCTAAAAGTTCAGAGAAATTCACTCTGTAGAGACATGAATTTAGGCCCAGATTTTGGGCAGAGTTCAAAGAACGAAATTTTAGGTGATAAGAGTTACTGTTTAGATTTGGTTTTGGGAACTTTACTCAAAATTTGGGGACTTGCACTAATTTTAAACTTATTAAGACAATGTGGGGATAAAGTTAGGGAGAATTGGCTCATTTCACAGGAAAATTGTAGGACTTTTGATCTGACATATTTCAGGGTCTGAAATTACCCTTGAAATTAGTTTGAGATGATTCTTGTGATTTTTACTTAAAATTGCTTACAATGAGCTTGTTCAGCAATTCGTAATTCTTGCATTTTTGGAAACTAGAGAGTGCACAGAGTTCACAGGAATTTTCCCCGATTTTTTTGAGCAATATTAACCCACGAAATACGAGTCCAAAAGTCCGCATTTTGGGCTCCCATTTAAACGCGCGCCGCTTGGCCCATCTCAAAATGGCGCCCATTTTCTCCGTCCGGCGGTGGCCACACTTTTGACCCGGCGTGCCGGCGGGTACCTCTGCATGCCTCTGCCGTGTGTGGGTCGTATAAACAAACGAAGATTGATAACACAAATGATCCGAGCAACTCGAAATCTCTTAATATTAAATAATTTAAATCCATTTTCGACTTCAACCAAGCACTTGGCAATAATATTCATCTTATTTTACAACCAGGAGCCACGGCCTATCGGCTCATTTTAAGGTGCATTCTGAAAATCAGTGTTTACAAGTCCAGTGTCCAAACCCAGACTTTCTTCCTTTACTTTTTTTTGACCATTCTCTTTTCATTTTCGCCTCAAATCAAATGTTTAGCAGTTTCTTTGTCTTGAGTATGTGGTCCTGAATTCATTCAAGAGTTAGAAGTTCACCATTTATTTAGTATTGTAGCCTTTTGACCTCTCAAGCTTTACCGATATGATCTCATGTAGTTCGAGGTTTCTTTGGCCCAAACCAAGTGATTACACATCTGATGTGTGTCTTATGGCTCTTCAAATTCGCAGTTTAGAACTAAATCAGAAACTACAGTTACTTAATCCAGTTCTGCTCTCTTGTTCGATGTTTGTCATAAGTGTTTGTTCGTGTCTGTTCTTTATAAGTGACCACTGTAGTGCATATACACAGTTATGCTATCGGTACAGGTATTATTTCTTGTTTTCTACAGTCAGGACTTTCTCTTAAGCGCAATAATTTACCAAAGAAATTCACCTAGTTGCGTAAATAATTTGGTGTATAGATATTCTGTTAATGTCTCCTTGCGGTGATGCAAAGTTTCTGAGATCTGTCATAAGTGGATTTTGCATTTAGACGGTCACTCTTGTCTGATAAAATTACTGCTCTACTTAGCAGCTTCAAATTTATACTTTGATCTCTGATTCATCACTAAATGACACTCGTGCGGTGTCATTTATCTTTAATCAGTTCAAAGCTATTTCGACAATGAATCATCAAAGGTCCGATCGAAGAAGGAATTTTCTGGTGAGTGCTGTGGCTGAACCGACATCACAACTCTACTATTGAAAGCATGAACCAAGACATGATCATTCGTCTGGAAGTGGAAATATTTTGCAACTCATCAGCAGGCCGATTATTGAAGGCTTAGAGCAACCCGACAAGACATCAAATTCCGATATATTGCATGGATAAGATAGGGCTATGTCTTTTCATGTCGGGCTGACATAGTTTCAATAATCGGGCAGCTGGTAGTTTAACAGGTAAGATTTGTAAAGTCACTTGGTATTACAAGTTACATTCGCATCTCTTGTGGAACAGTTTATGTAATTATGCTTACCTTTGTGGAGATTAATTGATAACAAAGCGAGCATATCAATATCATAGCCTAACTAGAAACCCACTTACGTAGATTCACAAAGTTTCAGACTTTCTGTTTCTCTTCGATTATAAAATCATGCAACAAAATGTTACAAATATCATCCCCAGATAACCTTAACCATGTTCCTGACTTTATCTTATGGGAGGATGTAATTCTATGTCTTTTCAAAATCCTTCCATTCGTCTGTACCTGAGAAATTCAGTAAACCAGCAGACTTTCGGACTTTTAACAAGAATCGTCGGCAACTTTACCATTGAAATGATTCTTAGGTGTTTTTGAACAAAGAGATTTTATTAAAATTTTTGTTGGACAGGTTTGATTCACCTTGAATTCTTAAATAGAGAGAAAAAAAACATTTTCTTCACTATAGAAAGAAATGAAACTGACCAAGCTGTAGGTAGGTAAGTAGTTTTTGATTACTTCATTCCATGAAATATGATGAGCCTTATTGCTGCAGGAAACACAACATATAGCAGGAATCCTCAAATAAATTTTATGTCTTGTACAATGTCTGTTGATACTTAAGTATATGATGATACCTATGAAGTACAAAATTTCTGAAAAGACACTGGGAATACCAGCAGAGTCATCTCAAAATTTTCTCTCAGGAACAAAACTAAAAATTGTGGAAGTTTCCTAAGAATGCTCTCAAGACAAATTTATGTATTATTCATAGATGAAGTGTAGCCTGCTACATATCATGTCGTATTCCTCTTCAAATATACATGCAGGTGAGTAGATTTTGAAATTTTGAGCGCACAATTTGCTTATGAAAGAAGCGAGCACTACCATGATTTCCACTTACCATTACCACTTCCTGATAAATTTATATGAGTTGATGCTTTTGAAAGTTGAGTTGAGATGTCGGTTCAGCCACAGCACTCACCAGAAAATTCCTTCTTCGATCGGACCTTTGATGATTCATTGTCGAAATAGCTTTGAACTGATTAAAGATAAATGACACCGCACGAGTGTCATTTAGTGATGAATCAGAGATCAAAGTATAAATTTGAAGCTGCTAAGTAGAGCAGTAATTTTATCAGACAAGAGTGATCGTCTAAATGCAAAATCCACTTATGACAGATCTCAGAAACTTTGCATCACCGCAAGGAGACATTAACAGAATATCTATACACCAAATTATTTACGCAACTAGGTGAATTTCTTTGGTAAATTATTGCGCTTAAGAGAAAGTCCTGACTGTAGAAAACAAGAAATAATACCTGTACCGATAGCATAACTGTGTATATGCACTACAGTGGTCACTTATAAAGAACAGACACGAACAAACACTTATGACAAACATCGAACAAGAGAGCAGAACTGGATTAAGTAACTGTAGTTTCTGATTTAGTTCTAAACTGCGAATTTGAAGAGCCATAAGACACACATCAGATGTGTAATCACTTGGTTTGGGCCAAAGAAACCTCGAACTACATGAGATCATATCGGTAAAGCTTGAGAGGTCAAAAGGCTACAATACTAAATAAATGGTGAACTTCTAACTCTTGAATGAATTCAGGACCACATACTCAAGACAAAGAAACTGCTAAACATTTGATTTGAGGCGAAAATGAAAAGAGAATGGTCAAAAAAAAGTAAAGGAAGAAAGTCTGGGTTTGGACACTGGACTTGTAAACACTGATTTTCAGAATGCACCTTAAAATGAGCCGATAGGCCATGGCTCCTGGTTGTAAAATACGATGAATATTATTGCCAAGTGCTTGGTTGAAGTCGAAAATGGATTTAAATTATTTAATATTAAGAGATTTCGAGTTACTCGGATCATTTGTGTTATCAATCTTCGTTTGTTTATACGACATACGACCCACACACGGCAGAGGTATGCAGAGGTACCCGCCGGCACGCCGGGTCAAAAGTGTGGCCACCGCCGGACGGAAAAAGTGGGCGCCATTTTGAGATGGGCCAAGCGGCGCGCGTTTAAATGGGAGCCCAAAATACGGACTTTTGGACTCGTATTTCGTGGGTTAATATTGCTCAAAAAAATCGGGGAAAATTCCTGTGAACTCTGTGCACTCTCTAGTTTCCAAAAATGCAAGAATTACGAATTGCTGAACAAGCTCATTTGGTAAATATTACCTTTCTATTCTTTTTCTACCGTAATTTGAAACGGATTTATGTTTCTTGAAAATAGGTCAAATTTGACCCTTGACATATCATAAACTCGGTAAAAAATTGAGGTATTGATCTGCAATTTGCGTCAAAATTCTTAGTTTTTAATGTTCCCTCTAGGGAGAAGATAGAGAAGTTACAATTTGAAAAAAAAAGTTGGGGCCCCCTACTCTTCTAAGGGAGGTGCCAAAATCCAGAGCAGGACTTTTGGTACACCATGTATCTTTCTTGAAACTAGGAAGAGTCAAGCTTCAGAACATATGTTTCCTGAAAAAGGGCGTTTGCAAGTATAACTTTTTAATAAAGGTGTAAAAAAGTAAATATTTATACAGGCAAACTCACTCTGGCTTTATGATGTCTGATTCCTCTTCATGCAGTTCAGGAAGTCGTTCCAACCCTAGATAATCCCTGCGCAATCGATCAACATCATTTTTCAACGGCCGATATTCCTCGTAAATTCGTTTTGCACGATCTAAATTTCGACCTCGAGCCTCCTCTGCTTTTTTGATCACGTTTTCCATCTGAAAATAAAGCATAGTAAAAAATAAAGGGAAAACTAGTAGCTTACTTTATCTCCTTTTTTTAATTAATAGAGAATATATTGATTCCTTTTGAAAGCAAGATAAGAGGATCAATTCAGCAAAAACAAATTATTCCTCACAAAAACATTTGTGTTGCTACATGCAAGTGCGCACTACTGCATAATATTTCAATGATACTCTTGCAATGGTATTAATCTAGCTGAAATCCATTCGTTGGCAAAAAATAGTAAATTTTGTTTTGACTCTAAGTTTCTATATTCAATATTAATGAAGGGATTATTGTTCAAGAAACAGTGGCCTCGGTCGATAACACGGAAACAAGGCCACTGAGGGTAGAGTTGGTGAGCGGCTCGATCTAGTGTGAAAGGGTTTATTAGTGTTGGCGAGCTTAGGTCCTCTGAATGTGCTAATATAGTACTGAAGTTTCGTCAACTCTTTAACAATTCTCTATGCTAGTCACTTAATCTGCCTGGCACAGTCACTCTTCGGGTTGTAGACCAGAGTGTCACTCACAAGGATGGTGCACATCATAGTTTCTCCTACTTAAGTTTTACCTGAAAATACAGTAGAGGGATCAGTACAAATTTGTGCAAAATTGCTTGACAAAATCTGACTGGAAGGTACCACTGTAGGCTACACTATTGTGGATTATGAAAGCCCCATATTTTTAAAGAGCAGTATCTTTGTTGAAGATACCACCTTTGTATTATCTGAAGATCGATCTTGAGATTTTCTGCTTATTCAGTCTCAAGTCATTAAAGCATAATTTCGCAACAAGTGCAGCTGATCCATTGCTCATAGTTTCTAACCTTCGCTCAGTAAGTAATTATTGGATAGTTAACTCAACTTTGTTAGGTGAAATTTTATCGTCAACAATGCCTAGAAAAAGGTAAAAAGTAATAATGGTATTGAGAGTTTTGAAACTCACTGCATTGATGTCTGCATGAATCTGCCGAAGTTCTTCTACATGAGCCATTTTTTCTTGCATGAGTAAGTCCATTTCCTGCTTGTACTCTTGTAAGCACTTCTCTTCTTGATCACTGTTTTCAACATCTTCAATGATTTTGGCTTTCAGTTTCAATAACTGTTGTGTTTTAGCTCTAGAACACATAATTATAACGATTACTTCGGGAGGTTGACATCAGTACTCTAGAGATAAGTACAGCACTAATTCTTGAAAGATGATTTGAGAGGTTGAAGTCTGGAGTAAGTATATATAAATTGGTTTTCCTTAATCATCTACACAAAAGTCTGCCATGTGATCTAATCTAGGTGAAATTTGTGAAACAGATTTATTTTGGCAGGATTCTGGACCTACTAACAGAGGGAATGATAAAATATGATTCCTTTGTCTTCCTTTCTGCCCAGTCTCATTTCGTGTTACTTTAAAAGTAATTAAAGTGCACACGTAAGCTTTCTATTAATGATGGGCCTTAAAGAATGGTCCATTTCTTAATGTGGTATCTTAAAAGAAACTGGAAGGTTCTTTCTAGTATTTAACACATACAAAAGAATTGAATCAAAAGGAACTATGTGGCCTGCAAATCCTACACTAATAGTTACATTTAATTTAATTCAATTGCAAATGGTTCCATTTGGAATAAATAGATACATCTGATGTATCAGACCGAATAGGTGCTTCTATACTGTCCATATTGCAATAGACCAGAAGAAACAAATGTACAGGTATACAAGTTGGCCTGAGACACATCAGTTGGGCTCGTAGATGGTCGGAGTTATGCGAAAATGCAGAAACCGCAGAGTTCCACTATCTATATTATTTTGTTTGTGAGGAGAGCATTCTGGACACCCATAATGGTAAAACACTTTTGAGGATATTCTATCCCTGGCATGAAACATGATGTTGGCTAGTTTTAAATCTAAAATGGAAGGATGACAGTTTCAGATTTTGAGGAAGTTATCCAGTTATCCAATCTTTTACCGTTTCTTATGTATTTTAGAAGCCAAATCAGTGTTCAAAACACTTGCTGGCCAAACAGCAATTTGCCAGTAAGAAATCGCCTTCGGCCGCTAAGAATGAAACTAGCAGCCAAGCCTATGCCGCTGAGAAAATCATTGTTAAACTCCGTTTATCGGATTTCTTGGCGTATTTCTGATTCAAGGCATTTCAAAAGCATAGAGAAAAAAAAGGAGGTGTTTGCATTTTTCGGGCATCTTGGATTTTTTTGATGACGTAGGTCGGTACAGCGACTTCTTACCTCCATTTTCTTGGAAATGGTGTAATGTATGGAAAAAAGTCATTCTATAAAAAGTGATTGAAATTATATCATGAGTTGATTTAAGCAAAAAAATGGGACATTAAGGTCCGTTTTTCATATTTCGAATTCCGGATTTCGCTGGCTAGGTTGTGACGACCTACGTCACAGGGTAAACAAACCTCAAGATGCAAACACCTCCTTTTTTTTCTCTGTGTTTCGAAAGGGCAATTTTTAATTTTGGCCCCTAAAGCCGATTCACACTATCAAATTTTTCATTCAACTCCTGGATGCAACTTGTCGAATGAAAGATTGGATAGTGTGATACTGATGAGAGAAGATGACAATTTTATGGAAAAATGGACAGAAACTTGAATGTGACGTCACATTCAACTTTTCGTTCAGCTTCCCATCCAATTAGATTGAAAGTTGAATGAAAAGTTGAGACAAAATATTTTGAGTACGGCATGAGCCCAAGCTGCCCTTTCACGACCCGCAGGCTGATGACAGTATCACACTGCAACAGTAATTGAATCAAATTTTTTGGCGTCTAACTTTACATTCAATCATGTCGGATGAAAAGTTTGGTAGTGTGAATTGGGTGTAAGAAGTCTGAGATGGCTCCTAGGTAAAAAAGCTGTAGGCAGAATGGCTGCTATGACTTCGTGCCAAGTTTCAAACACTAAGCCAAATCGACACCAAAAGGAGTCGACTGTTCAGCAGAGATTCCTTCCTTGAGCTCGGAATGTAGGGTTGACAAAAATCCTGCCGAATTTCCATCGCCAACTGTCTGGTGCGCAATCGGGAGCATCGATGTTCCTTTCTGCAGACTCACTGCACTCCCCACGCGCCGCAGGATTTTTGTCAACCCTCGCCTTTCGGGCCGCAGGATTTTTGTCAACCCTCGCCTTTCGGGCCAAGCAGGAATCTTTTAAACTCAAACCAACTTAAACGCCCTTTTTTTAAAGGGAAAATCTGCATGATTTCTATTCTATTATCTATATGATTAGGAATTGTAAGTAAAGAAGACCATAAGGAATACAAAAAATACAAATAAGGGGCCGTCCATAAATTACGTAAGGCTCTTAGGGGGAGGGGGGGGGTCTATAACAGCCTTTCGGTGCCTTACGAGAGGGGAGGCCTCGGCT